GCGCACACACACACACACGTGTACTCACACGCGCACACGTGTGTGTACACGCGCGCGCGCACACGTGTGCGTACGTACACGTGTGTGCACAGGAGCCCGTCACCGCGAGACTCCTCCATCCGAGGAGGAGGGGGAGGAAGAGGAGGTGGTGGACACTGAGAGTCGAGGCGATGCCAGGCCTGTACGGGCCTTGCTGTGTGTGGCTGCCTGTACGTGTGTCTGCCTGTACGTGTGCGTCTGCCTGTACGTGTGTGTGTGTCTGTGCGAGCGTTTGTTTGTCGGATGGAGCGGTGGGTCGACGGTTAGGGCGCCGTGTTACTGAATCTTCCCCCCCACCCCCCCGAGTTCAATTACCATGCTCCGCTAGCGACGACCGCGGCACGGAGTGATGTCCGTGACCGGTCCATTTATTTATGGGCGTTGATCCGTCTAGGTAGACTCAGCCTTAACAAAAAAAAGTGGTAGCAGTGGGAAGACAAAGACGGCCGCGTCGGTGATGGTTACCCTCCACTCTGCCCTTCGTTCCCCGTGCCGGCTTCAAGATGCGCTCGCTAACACCGCTTGCTCCAACAGTCTGTTAAAGGCCACACGGGGGGGGTGGCGGTTCGTCGTCTTTGTGTGCGGCACACGTGTAGGTAGCATGCTGGGTGTGTACACGTGCGCGCACATGAGTGCCTGGCGCGGTGTGTACACATCCTCACTGGGGATACAAAGGCGGCCCGGCGTGGTGCTGGTAACCCAACCCCCTCGTGCGCCGCACCGGTCTGCATAGGTGCTCGCGAACAGCACTTGCCCTAAACGTCTGTTAAGGCTATACGTGGGATCTTTGTCTTTGTATACACATTTTGCATGCGTGTAAAAAAGTATGTGCACGTATCGTGCGTGTGGTTGCTGGGTGTGTGTGTCCGGTACTCATCAATGCCATCACGACGTGTGTCAGCACGTGTGTGTGTGTAGCGGTGTTGGGGAGCGGTGGTGCAGCGGTTAGCGCTACGCTGCGCCACGAAGCCGGCGAGCCGAGTTAGATTCCCGCTCACGGCCACCAACACCACCAGTGATGATTACTCGAACCGGTCCTCGGCTTGCCCTAGGTCGACTCAGCCTAAAACGAGTACCCGGTGCGGTGTTTAAACATCGCCGCGAGGGAGACAAAGGTGGCCTCTCGGCCTTCACAGGTGCTCGCTCACAGCCCTCGCCACACAAAGAGAATGTTGCGCCGATCCGGGGGACCTGCGTACTCGTTTGCATATACAAGAAGGCAAAGGCGCAGCCCTGCAATTGCAGAGCCGCCCACTGTCGGGGAGTAATGTGGCCTCCTCTTCCACGATGGCCGGACCTCTTGTTAGCCACGGAGGAAGTCACCAACGGTGGTCTTGAAAGTAAAATATGTATAACAGACGACGTTTCGCGGTAATGGCCCTACTTCAGCAGTACTGTACAAGGGCCGTTGCACGAAACGTCGACTACCCACACTCTACCCCACCGCTTGCGACTTATAGACTGCTGAGGGCTTAACCCTCGCACCCTGCTGGGTGCACAGAGCCGGGGGGAGGTGGGGGTGGAGGAGGAGGGGGAGCGGATTTAAGATTTAAGAAACTCTTCCAAGCGGCCCTGCAGCCGCGTGCGTGCAGTTGACCATTCACAGCGCAGCTGGCAGCAGCTGCCCTTCCTTGCCTGCAATGAAATACACAGATTGTCACAAAGTGCATCAGCATCAGCAGCAGCATCGGCAGCATCAGCAGCAGCAGCATCAGCAGCAGCATCAGCAGCATCAGCAGCAGCATCAGCAGCAGCATAGCAGCCAAACACGCTGGACCGGTTTCGACTTTATGGGTCTCCATCAGTATTTGCATCTCCGATTAGCAACGTTTGACTACGTACGGCGCGAAAGAAGGTTCCAACATCCAGACACGCAGGCTGTGGGCAACATCTTGTGCGTGTGGTTGCTTTGGCTCTCAGGCGACGTGCTGAGTTGTTTATGGCCAAGCCCCGCGCACAAGGTGCGGTGTGTCTGTGTTTGTGTGCGTGGGGAGTGGTGGTGCCGCGGTTAGCGCGCTGCGCTGCGAACCCGGTGACCCGAGACGTATTATCTGAAGCGCTCCTGGGCCTCTCCTAGGTTGACTCGACCTCAAATCAGTGCCTGCTGCGGTGTGTAAATTATCGCTATTAGGGAGACAAAGGCGGCCGGGCGTGGTGCTGGCCACCCGACTGCTCGTGTGCCGCGCCGGCCTTCAGAGGCGCTCGCTAACAGCACTTGCCCCACCGGTATGTTAACGCTATCGGGGTGATCTTTATCTTTGCGGATGTGTGTCATTGTTTCTGACGATGACGATTAACATCATCATCAACGGCCATGATCATCCGCCGCTACTTTAAAAAAGCTAAACAAGATGTGCAGGTCGAGTTAGCTACGTGGAACGCTCGGGGCCGGGGAGGGGTCATCAACACGGTGCAGAGACACGAGTGCCTGTGCCGTGCTGATGAGCACGAATGAGCACGAAACCGGCCCACAATGCCACAGCCGCAGCTGCTGCTGCTGCTGTTGTCACGTGGTCACAGTTCCCCATTCATTTCGATGGCGGCCTCGGACTTGCTGACGACAATGCACTCATTCAGGAAGTGCGCCTACACGTGAGGCTAAACCACTGCGGCGTTGAAAGGAAACGCATATTTAATAGGCGACATTTCGGGCAATGGCCCTTCATAGGACAGAAGCTGGGGGAGGGGGGGATAATAAAAAAAAAACACTTGCACCTCTTTTTTACTGCCTCGCCGGGAGATAGAAATCGACCCTGTGACCTCTGAAGAGCGATACTATGAAACGTGCATTCTTATCGAGAGCAACACTTGTGCGTGTTTTTATCTTGCTTGGCCAAAACCTTCAAAGCCACCACGCCGAGGAATGTGTGAAGGAAGAAGTTTCCATATCTGCGGATCGCACAAACACAAAGATCCCGCCCGCATCGCCTTCACCTCACTATTGGGTCAAGTGCTGTTTGCGACCGGTTCAAATATGTGCCGCTCTTATCGGGTAGAGCGGTGCGCTAACCACGACGCTCGCACAAAACCCACGTGCATCCTCTTCTCTCACCCATACGGCCTCGCGGCAGCTGACATGCGAAGTGACCAATCGAGCGGCGACACGTCTAGACGTACAGATAAAATAAAAAGCCACCGTGCGTTCAACACCTCCACCGACTTCAATCCCGAGCGCAGCGTTCTCCACTTATTGTCACGCAGAGAGAGAGGGGGGGGGCAGGGACGGGGGGAATTTGGCCGATAAGACATCAGATCAGTGTGAGGGCCGCCACACATTTGTAACCAGTGGCAGATTTTTTTTTCCAGCAGCACGATGATGATGATGATGGGGGTGTCACGTGTTGTGGATTCATACTCTTAGGTTTTTTCGGTAAAGTCACGTCGGTAAAAATAAAATAAATAATAAATAATAAAAATAATATAAATAATAATAGAAATAAAATCATAAATCACGACGTTTCGGAGGCAACACGAGTCTCTGTCATTAGGTGGGACCGTCACAGCTACCGAAAAAACCCTAAGAGTATGAATCCTTGCAGTCACGAAAGCATCAAATCACGTGTTGTGGATTGTCGTGGGCCGCACGCCAGGGGCCGCACTAGAGGCCGCCAGGGGCCCCCCGCGGGGCCCCGCAACGAAGAGCGCTGCACGGCCACTCCAGGCGCGTCCCCCTCCTTTGGCTGCCACTCCGTCGTTGGCCTCGACCCTCATCGGCCAGTGCCCCCCCCCCCACTCCTGCTGCTGGACGCGGCACGTCCAGCCCGAGCCGTCGCTCCTCTTGACGCCCCCCGGACACGTCCCGCGCGTGTCCGTCCCACCACGTGGCGCGCCTCCTCCTCCTGAGCAGCGCGCCTCTCATCTCTCCCGCGTCCCATCTCGCTATCCGCTACTCCCCCTTGCCTTTTGCCCACTCGAGCGGCAACACAACAAACGATTAAATACGCAGCACAACGACGCCTCTTCCAGAGAGATCATCATCATCATGATCTTAATAAAAACAAGCGAGGTTACAGTTGGTCCGTTTCCAAAATTGTCCACGGCTTTGTCCACCGCTCGCGACTCTGGGGAAGACCCCGAGACAATGGTCTGAACCGTCGCACCCACCTGGAGGCTTTAGAAATGCTCCCACCGCAGTCTCCGGAACGACAGAAGCTCACGCCTTTGGTTTGCGCTAAAAAACAAAACCCCAACGCGCTCGGGTCGGTCTTGGAGCCAGGCAATAGTGGAACTCCGTTCTCGTGTCTCCACGTGTACGAGCTAAAGGCGCAGCCCCGCAATTGCTTGCAAACGCCGCTGCTGTCGTGGTAGTGGCCTCCACTCGAGGGAAGTCTTGATTAGTCATCTGATCTGCTCGCCAGACTAGTCGATGTCGTGTGCGGTGGGGTAAAGTGTGGGGGTCCTCCTCCCACCTCTCCCAAGACGCATGGGGACAGCGTGGAAGAGTAGGCCAAGAGTGAGCTCTCTGCACAGATCCTTCCGGTGGGAGTCGTCGGGACACTTACGAGTTGATTTTGCTCAACCAGGTGCGAACTCTAGAGGCCAGGATGAGCCGAAGTCGCAACAGCAGTGGCCTGGTTGGGGCACGAGTCTATCGCCAGTAGAGGGGGGGTGGGGTGATGATCGCTGATGAGCGTCGTCTCACGACGGCACTCCTCTTGCCAATTGGGTCACGGAATCTGTAACCTCCACTGTGAGCGTAGCAGACGTGGTGCGGAATGTCACCATCGTCACTACACTCGCAGTATTAGCCAGGGCGTCCGCTGGGTTCGAACCGCGCGCATCTGCGCCAACAAAACGGCGAACGCGCTAAGGCTGGAAGCACGCCACTGCCTTTATTTCTGCTTGTTGACGACTCCCACTGACGATGGTTGCTCTCTCTCCATCTCCATCCATACTCCCTGTTCACAGAGGTGGTGGTGGTGGTGGAGAAGAAGGAGGCGGAGGAGGAGGAGGCGGAGGAGGAGGCGGAGAGTGTAAAGGGAGAGCGAAGGAGAGAGGAGAGAGAGGAGGAGGAGAAGGAGGAGGAGAGAGAGAGAGGAGAGATAAGAGGGCGACGGGATGCGAGCCTCGACTGCCAACTCAGCATCCAGGGTACGCGACGGGCGATCGTAAACAACAACACGTCCCATTCAACACGTTCCATTGAACACGCGCAAGCTCGACTCCACTCTGCCTTGTTGCTCGCTGTCGGACTCCGACGTCTCGCCAGGCCTCACGGAGTCAGGCGACCCGCATAATCCACCGAGTCGTCGTTTGTGTTCATAACGAACTGATTTGAATTCGCCCGGCGCACAATGCGCAGATCTCGCACGGCCCTCTGCTGAGCGACAGCCTCGCGCAGCGACACCGTCTTCACGAGCGCGGCCGCTGGGGGCGAAGCTCGCCGCAACAAGCCGACGTGTAAATTTCGATTTAAAGCTTTCGTAACTGCAGGGATTCATCTTCTTGGTTCTTGCGGTAAAGTCACGTAGAATGGAAATAATAAAATACTAAAAATAAAACATTATAAAATAATTCTCACGACGTTTCGGCCACAACGCAAGCAGCCGTCCTCAGGTGGAGAACAGGTCTGTGGAGAACACAGTGCCATTCAGACTCTGTCTACTCGACAGACCTGTTTTATTATGTTTTATTTTTATGATTTTATTATTTCCATTCGACGTGACTTTACCGAAAGAACCAAGAAGATGAAGCCGACGTGTGTGTGAGTGTGTGAGTGAGTGTGTGTGTGAGTGCGTGTGTGAGTGCGTGTATGTGCGTGCGTGTGAGTGTGTGTGTGCATGAGTGCGTGTGTGAGTGCGTGTGTGTGAGTGCGTGTGTGTGCGTGCGTGCTTGGGGGTGTGTGTGTGAGTGCGTGTGTGTGAGTGTGTGTGTGTGCGTGAGTGTATGTGTGTGCGTGAGTGTGTGTGTGCGCGTGTGTGTGTGTGCGTGAGTGTGTGAGTGAGTGCGTGTGTGTGTGCGTGTGAGTGTGTGAGTGAGTGTGTGAGTGTGTGTGTGAATGTGTGTGAGTGCGTGTGTGAGTGTGCACGTGTGTGTGCAGTAGCGTAGCGGTTAGCGGACCCGGCGACCCGGGTTCGATTCCCGCTCACGGCCAACGCCAGTGATGATGATCTAAACAGTTCCTGGGCCTCCCCTAGGTCGACTCAGCAGCTGCAGTTGCATTAGCCCATGCAGCCCCTACTGTATGTAAGGTTATACGGGGGATCTTTGCCGATGTGTGTGAATGTGTGTGAATGTGTGTGGATGTGAGCGTGTGTGTGTGCGAGTGAGAGTGGGTGAGCAGTGGTGCAGCGGTTAGCGTGCTGCGAACCTGGCGACCCGGGTTCGATTCCCGTTCACCACCACCGACACGAGTGATCTTAACCGGTCCTGGGCCTTCAAATGAGTACCTGGTGCGATGTGTAAACATCGCCACGAGGGAGACAAAGGCGACCGGGCGTGGTTGCGGACCTAACCCTAACCACCCACCCCCTGGTGTGCCGTGCGGGCCTTCACAGCTGCACTGTGACACCCACACAGTCGATGATGCAATCACACTCGCTCGTGCAGGACACACAGACACAGACGACAAACTGCTGGGGCAAGTGCTGTTAGAGAACTGCGCCGAGGAAGGGTTGACGCGACGGGGTGGTCAGCCCCAGGTAGTCACTCGAGGCCGAGTTCATGAGGTGGTTCAATATTTAAATAGTCTCGCCTGGTGGTGAGCGCGAATCGAACTCTGATCACCGGGTTCGTAGCGCAGCGCGCAAACCGCTACACAATCACACAACAAAGACAAAGATCCCCCACATAGCCTGTAACAGACTGTTGGGGAAAGTGCTGTTAGAGAGCACATATGAAGGCCGGCACGGCAAACACCACGCCCGGCCGCCTTTGTCTCTCTCGTGGCGATGTTTACACATCGCACCAGGTACTCATTTGAAGGCCCAGGACCGGTTAAGATCACTCGTGTCGGTGGTGGTGAACGGGAATCGAACCCGGGTCGCCAGGATCGCAGCACGCTAACCCCTGCACCACCGCTCACCCACTCTCACTCGCACTCACACACACGCACACATCAACACACATTTACACATCCACACACATTCACACACATAGGCAAAGATCCCCCGTATAACCTTACATACTGTAGGGGCTGCATGGGCTAATGACACTGCTGCTGCTGAGTCGACCTAGGGGAGGCCCAGGACCGGTTTAGATAATCGTCACTGCTGGTGTTGGTGGCCGTGAGCAGCGCACAGACTACTACTCCACCGCCCCCCACACACACACTCACACACTCACACATACACTCACACACACACTCACACGCACACGTACATTCACACTCACACACACGCTCACGTACATTCACACTCACACACACTCACACACACACGTACATTCACTCACACACTCACCCACACGCTCACGTACATTCACACACATACACGCTGACCCGCACACTCACACACACGCACTCACCATCAAAGACACACACACCCACGCTGACCCGCACACACTCACACACACTGACCCGCACACTCACGTACATTCACACACTCACACGCTGACTCGCACACACACACTCGCACACACACACACTCACACACGCTGACCCGCACACTCACGCACGCTCACAAAGGACCCTGGCGTTTTGCTGGTGACTCAGAGAGAGAGGGAGAATGCTGAGCCACAGAACAAAGGAGCCGGAGGTTTTGCCAGATCTCGTGTGAGTGTGCGAGTGTGCGTGTGTGCGAGTGGTGAGCGAGTGTTGAGTGTGTGCATATGTATTTAAGTCAGTGTGTGTGGGGAGCGGTAGTGTAGCTGTTAACATTACGCTGCGCTACGAACCCGGCGACCCGAGTTCGATTCCCGCTCACGAACCGCCAACAGCACCAATGACGATTTTCTCAACCGGTCCCGGGCCTCCCCTAGGTTGACTCAGCCTCAAATGAGTACCTGGTGCGATGTGTTGTAAACAAAGGCGACCGGACGTGGTGCTGGCCACCCACCCCCTCGTGTGCCCGTGCCAGCCTTCATAGGTGCTCACTAACAGCACTTGCCCCTACAATGTGTTAATTCTGTACGGGGGATCTTTGTCTTTGTGTGCGAGTGTCGGGGTGGTGGTGGCGTCGTGGTTAGCGCGCTGCAAGTTCCATTCTCTCCCCACGAGACAAAAAAATCCAGTGGCGAATACTGTATATGAACCCGTCCTGGGCCTCCCCTAGGTCGACTCAGCCTGAAGCCAAGAGGGGGTTTCGTGTGAATGTCAGCGGGGCTCATCGGGGGCCCAGCGAATGGTGTAGCAACAGAGCGCGTGAACCGCGAGCCCATGGCAACCAGCCTCGCCGCACCACGGCCCCCGCGTTCTCTCTCACATCCTCACACTTACACACACACCCTCACAGTCTGTCACACTCTCACACACACTCACACACACTTACACACTCAAACTCACTCTCTCACACACTCACACTCTCACTCACTCTCTCACACTCTCACACACTCTCTCACACACTCACACACCCTCTCACACACTCACACACTCACAAACACTCACACTCTCACACACACTCACACACACTCACACTCTCACACACACTCAGTCTGTCACACTCTCTCTCACTCACTCTCTCTCACACTCTCTCTCACACACACTCTCACACACACTCACTACCTCTCACACTCACTCACTCACTGTCTCACACTCACACACACTCTCTCTCACACACACTCACACACTCACATCCTCACACACTCACAATCTGTCACACTCACACACACTCACACTCTCTCTCACTCACTCACTCTCTCTCACTTACGCTCTCTCACTCTCTCTCACACTCACACGCACACACTCACTCTCTCACACTCTCACTCACTCACAGACTCACACACACTCTCACACACACTCACTCTCTCTCACACACTCACAGTCTGTCACACTCTCTCTCACTCACTCTCACACTCTCTCACTCACTCTCTCTCACACACACTCACTCTCTCACACACACACTATCTCACACTCACACACTCTTTCACTCACACTCTCTCACACGCACACACTCGCACACACTCTCTATCTCACACACTCACAGTCTGTCACACTCTCTCTCACTCACCCTCACACCCTCTCACTCACTCTCTCTCTCTCAATCACACACTCACACTCTCACACACACTCACGGTCTGTCACACTCTCACACACACACTCACTCTCACAGTCTCTCACACTCTCACACACACACTCACAGTCTCTCACACTCTCTCAAACACACTCACATACACACTAACACACTCTCATACACACAATCACACACACACTTACACACACTCTCACACACTCTCACTCTCACACGCTCTCACACACACACTCACACTCGCACACTCTCACACTCACTCACTCTCATACACACTCACACTCTGTCACTCTCACACACACTCACACTCTCTCACACTCTCACACACATACTCTCTCACACACTCACACTCTCTCTCACACACTCTCACTCTCACACACACACTCACACTCTCTCTCTCACACTCTCTCACACACACATATTCTCTCACACACTCACACTCTCTCTCACACACACTCTCACACACACTCACACACACACTCTCTCTCACACACACTCTCACACACACTCACACACTCTCTCTCACTCTCTCACGTTCTCTTTGTTGCTCTCTCCGTCTCCTTGACCCCACCTCTCTCTCTCGTGCCCTCTCTGCTCACCAGCTGATGAAGTTAAGTTCGTAATTTTTTAAAATAATAATATCATAATCATCATAATCATCGTGATGATGGTGATGAAACTAGTACAATGGAACAACCACAAGAGGAAATTTACCGCCTTAATGTTACACGGCGTTGCGCGGTCACTGCCGTGTGTCGGACAGTCGATGATGATGATGGTGGTGGTGATGATGATGATGATGGTGGTGATGATGGTGGTGGTGGTGATGATGATGGTGGTGATGATGGTGGTGGTGATGATGATGATGGTGGTGGTGGTGATGATGATAGTGATGATGGTGGTGATGATGATAGTGATGATGATGGTGGTGATGATGATGGTGGTGATGATGATAGTGATGATGGTGGTGATGATGATAGTGATGATGGTGGTGATGATGATAGTGATGATGGTGGTGATGATGATGGTGGTGGTGATGATGATGATAGTGATGATGGTGGTGATGATGGTGATGATGGTGGTGATGATGATAGTGATGATGGTGGTGATGATGATGGTGGTGGTGATGATGATGATAGTGATGATGGTGGTGATGATGGTGATGATGGTGGTGATGATGATAGTGATGATGGTGGTGATGATGATGGTGGTGGTGATGATGATGATAGTGATGATGGTGGTGATGATGATGATGGTGATGATGGTGGTGATGATGGTGATGATGGTGGTGATGATGATAGTGATGATGGTGGTGATGATGATGGTGGTGGTGATGATGATGATAGTGATGATGGTGGTGATGATGGTGATGATGGTGGTGATGATGATAGTGATGATGGTGGTGATGATGATGGTGGTGGTGATGATGATGATAGTGATGATGGTGGTGGTGATGATGATGGTGATGATGGTGGTGATGATGGTGATGATGGTGGTGATGATGATAGTGATGATGGTGGTGATGATGATGGTGGTGGTGATGATGATGATAGTGATGATGGTGGTGATGATGGTGATGATGGTGGTGATGATGATAGTGATGATGGTGGTGATGATGATGGTGGTGGTGATGATGATGATAGTGATGATGGTGGTGATGATGATGATGGTGATGATGGTGGTGATGATGGTGATGATGGTGGTGATGATGATAGTGATGATGGTGGTGATGATGATGGTGGTGGTGATGATGATGATAGTGATGATGGTGGTGATGATGATGGTGGTGATGATGATAGTGGTGATGATGATAGTGATGATGGTGGTGATGATGATGGTGGTGATGGTGGTGATGATGATTATAGTGATGATGGTGGTGGTGATGATAGTGATGATGGTGGTGATGATGATGATAGTGATGATGGTGGTGGTGATGATAGTGATGATGGTGGTGGTGATGGTGGTGATGATGATGATGATGGCGGTGATGATGATGGTGGTGGCGGTGGTGGAGTCGTGGTCAGGAGCGCGGCGTCGACCTCCGGGCGCGGCAGCCGAACCGTCAATGGGGGAAAATTTCGACTTGAAGCTTTCGTGACTGCAGGGATTCATATTCGTGAGAATTTTATTGTTTTATTTTTATCATTTTATTATTTCCCTTCTACGTGACTTTACCGAAAGAACCAAGCATCCGTCGATGGGAAAGTTCCCTTCGGCCGCCACCCGGCGATGCGAACTTGTGCGGCGGCCACAGCGGCGAGCCCACAATCACGTCGGGTCGTGGGCGGTGGGCTAAAGTGTGGGTACTCACCCACCCCCCCACCACTCTTCCCGCCAGCAGCAGACAAAGGAGGGCATTGCCGTGCTGCGCCTTGGTCTTCGTTACAATATTCACATTGCCTGCGGCGGCGGTGGCGAGGTGCGGCGTGGAGGAGGAGGGGGGGGCTACTTTATAAAACGTCGCCAACAGCACTTGTCTCAAATATCTGTTGAGGCTACCCGGGGGACCATTGTCTGTGGGGGTACTGTACATGTTGCTATCTAGGACAGTGGAGAACAGTTCGTGCTCTCTCTCTACCCCCACTCGCTCCACTGCTACGCTCTTTGTACACTCCCCCCACCCCCCCACGTCTCTCCTGCCGCTAATCTCTCCCCGTACTCTCCCCACTGCTACTCTCATTGTACTCTCTCGATCCTCTCTTGTTGAGCACCCACTCTCTCTCTCCCTCTCCCTTTGAGCCCCCATCCCCCTCTCTCCCAGCTCTCTCTCTCTCGCCCTCCACACTCCCTCTCCGCTCTCTCGCCCTCCACTTTCCCCCACGCTCTCCCCCTCTCTCTACCTCCATTCTCCCGTCTCTCAACTCTTCTCTCCACTCTTCCCCCCTCTTTAGACTCTCTCCCCTCTCTCCTCTCTAATCTCCCCCGCTCTCTCCACCTCCTCCACTCTCCCTCTGCTCTCTCCACTCTCCCCCGCCTCTCTCTAAACGCTCCCCTTTCTCTGTCCTGCGGACTTCCTCAATAGCGGAGTCGTGACACGAGGAAGCTGAGCGGCCCTGGCATCACCACCATCATCATCACCACCATCATCATCACCACCATCACCACCACCATCACCACCACCATCATCACCACCACCATCATCATCATCACCACCATCATCACCATCATCATCATCACCACCATCACCACCACCATCACCACCACCGTCATCACCACTACCAACATCATCATCACCACCATCACTATCATCACCACTGCCATCACCACCACCAACATTATCACCACCATCACTATCATCACCACCACCAACATCATCATCACCACCATCACTATCATCACCAGCGCCATCACCACCACCATCATCATCACCACCACCACCGTCATCACTACCACCATCACCACCGCCATCACCACCACCACCATCCAATTATAATTGTTATCACCGTCATCAATTATTTATACAGTGTAGCATCATCACGATCATCTACAATGCACCATCATTATTATCACGTACAGTGTATGATCATCATAAATGCATACAGAATGTATCATCACCATCATTCACATCATCATCATCACCTTTTCGTGCCGGCCACATGCGCTTGTGATCCAGTGCTTATAAGATGCAAGGATTGGTGTGAACACGCATATATTAGTGAGACCCCCCCCCAAACTCCCACTGGACAGCGTGGTGTGACGGCTGGAAGACAGCAGTACGGCAAGTGGGCTCATGAACCCATCTGTGCGGATCTTTTTGAGTGTTACCCCCCCCCCCTCCATCCCCCGTATAAGAAGCCAGAAGCCAAACGTTCATGAATGGACTCCGCCAAACATTCCAATTCGGCAGCAGCCGCTTGAAACCCGAGTCTTGAAAACTCCCCCGGATACACAAACGAGGTCAGTGCCAACGACGAATCAAGTAGGGCACAGGGAGTCCTCGTTTAACGCCGAAGATGCGTTTCTGAAAAGTGGCACATGCGCAGTGAGATGACGGGACAAGTACATCAATGAGAGTTTACACCGCCGCGTCGCGTATCATTCCGCGCCGTACCGCGTCATTCCCGCTCGACCCGCGCAGCTCGAGAAAGTAGTTCCGCTCAGAAACCGCGTTATAACGAGGTGTGCTCAGAAACCGCGTTATAACGAGGTGTGCTCAGAAACCGCGCTATAACGAGGTGTGCTCAGAAACCGCGTTATAACGAGGTGTGCTCAGAAACCGCGTTATAACGAGGTGTGCTCAGAAACCGCGTTATAACGAGGTGTGCTCAGAAACCGCGTTATAACGAGGTGTGCTCAGAAACCGCGTTATAACGAGGTGTGCTCAGAAACCGCGTTATAACGAGGTGTGCTCAGAAACCGCGTTATAACGAGGTGTGCTCAGAAACCGCGTTATAACGAGGTGTGCTCAGAAACCGCGTTATAACGAGGTGTGCTCAGAAACCGCGTTATAACGAGGTGTGCTCAAAAACCGCGTTATAACGAGGTGTGCTCAGAAACCGCGTTATAACGAGGTGTGCTCAGAAACCGCGTTATAACGAGGTGTGCTCAGAAACCGCGTTATAACGAGGTGTGCTCAGAAACCGCGTTATAACGAGGTGTGCTCAGAAACCGCGTTATAACGAGGGGTGAAAAGTGTCACCCGAATGCGAGGAGTGGCGTCAGAGCAGTGGCCGCGAGCACCCGATCCATGTGCGCGCATTTAATTATTTATTTCTAATTATTTATTTAATCAGCGCGGGTGCTACAAAGGTGGAGCACGGAATTCTGGTTCCGGGAAACGGCCCCCCACGAGCCACAGCAGAGGTCGCCCCCCGTCATCGGAGCTCATGCGGACCCCCCACGAGGTGAGAGGACCACCCTCGCCCCCACCCCCCCCGCCCTCGCCCCCCTCCCCCCCGCCTTCGCCCCCCTCCCCCCCGCCTTCGCCCCTCGCCCCCTCCCCCCCACCCTCGCCCCTCGCCCCCCACCCTCGCCCCCCTCCCCCCCACCCTCGCCCCCTCCCCCCCACCCTCGCCCCCCTCCCCCCCACCCTCGCCCCCTCCCCCCCACCCTCGCCCCCTCCCCCCCACCCTCGCCCCCTCCCCCCCACCCTCGCCCCCTCCCCCCCACCCTCGCCCCCCACCCTATCCCCCCCATCCTCGCCCCCTCCCCCCACCCCCTCTCCCCCACCCTCGCCCCCCACCCTTTCCCCCCCACCCTCGCCCCATCCCCCACCCTCGCCCCCTTCCCCCACCATCGACCCCCACCCGTCCCACGCCCCCCACGCCCCCCACTCACCCCCTCCCCTTGTTGCCGGGCACGTGATCGCGCCGCACCACGTGGCACGCACGTGGTGTGGGAACTCGTCGACCTCCACGATGAGATCGTCACGTGGCCCGGCAGTGAGTGAACCTTTGTGGCACCACCACCACCAACAACAGTAACAACAACAGTAACAACAACAACAGTAACACGTTGTTTGTCAATGTCGCTGTGTGGCCTGGACTGTCTAATATCGGCCCATATGTTCACAGCGCATGAACATAGCCCCTGTAGAGGCGATTGTCCCGGGAATTGATCATTGTGCCCTCCGTGGTTTGGGGGAGCGTGGGGGGAGGGGTTCAGTGGTGACAATTTGATCGGAGAGCCGCGGGGATTTGTTTACCTTCCGTGTACTTTGCACTCCTCTCGTGTGTTTGTGCTGTTTGTTGTTGTGACGTTCTTACTCAGTGCCCCTGCTGGACGGTCTGTGAAAGAGCTTTACAGCTCATCGGATTCCTCCAGTAAAATAAAAACAGGTAGTCCCCGACTTACGATAGAGATGCGTTACGACGACCCCATCTTCGTAAGTCGAAAATATCGCAAGTCGAAGATGGCCTATAGCCTGCCCAGGAGTCTTAAAGAATGGCGATAATTTAACAAAACAGAGCAATTTACAGTACCGTACTGTATAAACTGTATACTGTGTGTATTTATTAATTACAATACTGTATTGCACAGTAAAATTTAAAGTAAAAAACAAGGTAAATTCTTAGCCTACCTATATGAACTGCAATTTCATATAAAGTTTTTTCAGGAAACAATCCTATCTGCTGTAAAAACTTTCAACATGCATTGAACGCATCGTATCGTGGTAACCTTAAAATGAAATCGCTAAAGCTACGCATCACACACGCATTGAGCGTATCGTATTGTAAACACCGAGACAACTTAACTCCGTCCACCGCTGGTGAGAGTGGGAGGCATCACCACACAAGGCGGGAGATGCGTTCAGTAACATCCCGGCAGCGTCCCAACCTACAGCATCGTACCTCGCACGCTGCTGCGTTTGCCTGCCGCGCCAGATGTAAAACATTTAACAATTTTGTCGTATCGATATCGCCATCGTAAGATCGAAATATCGTAAGTCGGATCATCGTAAGTCGGGGACTACATGTATTCTGATTCCGAAAATGTAACCACGTGACTGCGTTCCATGAGGATTCAAGAATTTATCATTAAAAAGTTTGTTGTTCTCCCAAACTTTCCGCGAACTTTCCATGTTCACCACTTCCGTTTAACTTTCCATGTCCACCACTTCTGTTTACCACTCGCGACGAAGAGCTCCCCCCGCGTGTGTGCTCCAGGAACTCCCCCCTGGCCACGCCTCTGTCTGTAATCAGCCAGCCCAACAGGCGCGACGTAGACCATCGACTTCACCACGACACGGCCATATAAACATAAAGTGCACCCACGTGTACCACGTGGTGGTGTCGGCTTTTGGCGAATTATTAAAAGGCCATAAACACGGAGTCGCCTCTAAGACGCGGCGGTTGACTCGAGATATTCACTCGAGAGGGAGTCACTCGACCCCCGGTGGAAACACGCGGACTTTTAAAAAAAATCCCATTTCCACCCCTGGGTATTTGACCATACTTCACCACGCTGGTCAGTGCGAGATCGGTGAGGGTTTGAGAGGGTGATGAGAGGGTCGTCATTAACGGAGGGGGTGGGGGAGGGGATGGGGGTGGTGATGGTAGGGGTTTTGGTTCGATTATGTAAATGATTATTATTCATGGCTGTGACGATTAATCGATTAACGACGATGGAGCCACGTGCTTCTCATGGCGTGAAGGCCCGATGAGGATTAACAATGTGTTTACTCCTGCTGATGATGCTGCTGCTGATGCTGCTTATTCTGTTGCTGATGATGATGCTGCTGATGGTGACGATGTTCATACCACCGATGATGCTGCTGATGCTGCTGCTCATGATTATGCTGCTGCTACTGCTGATGATGATAATACTGACGATGCTGATAATGATGCTGCTGATGATGCTGCTGCTGATGATGCTGCTCATGATGATGCTGCTACTGCTGATGATAATGCTGACGATGCTGATAATGATGATGCTGCTGCTGATGATGCTGCTGTTCATGCTGCTCATGCTGCTACTGATGCGACTGCTGATGGCGATGACAAGGATGAAACCCTCCTTGCCCACACCAACTCCCCCCCCGTCAGAACGAGAACTGCTCGGGCGCCGTGGGCTCCCCCCCCCTCGCGCCGCCGCTCAGCAACGGCGAGCCAGCCGACGTCGGCGTCACCGCCAGCAGCAACAACAACAACAACAACGCCAACAACAACAACAACATGTCCCCGGGCAAACAGCTGCACGGCGTCACCGGCCCCGGTGCCACCCCCGAGAACAACGTGGGTGGAGCGGCGGGGGGGCGCGGGGTGGCGCAGCGTCGCCCGGGACCGGCGGTGGACGCTCGCAGGGCGGGCGACAGCCTGGACGACGCTAGCCAGGGCTCGCCCGACAGCACAGGTGGGTGACGTCGTCGTCATCGCTGACGTCATCGCTGACGTCATCATTGACGTCATCGCTGACATCATCGTCGTCGTCATTGCCTTCGTTATCATTGTCATCAGCATTGCCATCATCATCGTCATTGCCATCATCATTATCATCATGAATATCGTCGTCATCATCGTCGTCATCATCGTCGTCACCGTCGTCGTCACCGTCGTTGCTTGGATTTTGTGCTAAACTGGTCCTGGGCCTGTTGTAGGTCGACTCAGCCTTAAACGAGTACCTCACGCGGTGTGTCAGACATCACCTCTGGTTACGCCACCGAGTCGTGCGCCGTGCCGGCCCACGTAGGCGTCCGCGAGCGGCACTTGCCCCAACAGCCCGTCGTAGGCTACACGTGGGACCTTTGTCTTTGTGTGCGCGGAGCAGAAAGTCTGTTCCGCACCCCGGGGAGCCCCGCGAACAGCTGGACCGCGGAGAACTCCCCCTCGGCGCTGGCGGAGTCCGACCAGGTGAGCCCCGGGTGACCGGCCTGCAGTCTCCGCTCGCTCTCTCTTCGCCTTGTCCAAACGACGCTGCATTGGCACGATGGCTGCAGCTGACGCCGCCGCCGCCGCCTCGCAGATGGCGGTGAGGTGGTGCAGTGGCCCGCGAGCCCGTTGGCATTTGCTCGCTTGAACAAATGTGAATTCCGGAGACATTTTAAAAATAAAGTAATTGTCTGTGTGTTGTTCATCCTTGTGACGTGTGGAGCGGAGAGCAGAGTTAGCAGGTCAGAGATCATCGCCTTGAGCATCAGAGAAAAAAAAACCCAAGTGGGCTTGTGGTTTCCTCCCAGGAGAAGGCAGTACAGCAAGTGGCACTCAATACCATCGGGTACGGCACCGGGGTGGATTGAGTCATACCTACATGGTCGATCAGAGTTCGCCGAGCTGGATGATGAACAGTCCTCGCTTAACCGCCCTCCTCGTGGCCTTCCCGTTTTCAACGTGTGTCTCTCTCCGATCGCATGACATCGAGTCCCATCAACTTGCTAATTATGCACAATTGTACACACCGCAGCGAAGTCAACGTTAGATTCGCAGAGCCGAGGTAATAACCTCGAAGATTGCCACGCGAGCGTGTCGCTTCGTGCGGTGTGCACGAAGCGACATGCTGGTCGATCCAGGACTATCGGAGGTTCTGCCGGTTGGCACTGCGGCTCAAACTCAAACACTTGTGAGAGGCAACGGTGTGATAGTCGCGGACTCCACGAATCGGTGTTCTACTCATCTCAAGAGCCTCGGCACCACACTCGACCAGAACATGTCGTTTGATCACCGCTTGCGAGATGTAGTCGGGTCCTACAATGATTTGTTTCTTCTTCGGGTGCTCCAGTTTCCTCCTTCCGCGTGTACAACAATGATAGAGCACAGCGACAGGGCCCTCCAGGGAGTCCTGCGGTGATCAGCGTTGACCTACTGCTGGCTCAAGACATTGTTATTGTTTAGCAGTACGAACCTGTTGTAATGCACGCCAAACCGGTCTGACAAAGGGAGCTTGCGAAACGAGTAAACCCAGTTTTACCACAAAGGCATGTGGCTGACACCCAGACCCTGGCTGAGTGTCAGGGCTCCGTGGCCTCGGAGAACGTTGAGAATGTGGAGGGGCTGGCTGGGCACAATCGCAATAGCGGTCTTGTCGTGCGATGCCACTTTTAAGGGCACACTCAGAATCAGAATCTTTACCCGTGGCGCCGCGGTGGCTAGGAGATGTTATCTCCCTCTCTTGGTATGCCAGGGGTCGTGGGTTCTATTCCGACCCTGACGCCTGCTGTATATTTGGAGTTTGCGTGTTTCGCTCACCATGACTGCGTTGATTTTTATCCGGGTCTTCTGGGTTTTTTTTCCTCCACATTTGACAATGCACAAACACCCAGCGATCTGTGTGTTCGTGAGTCTATGGATCTCAGTTTGAGTCTAAGGGTCTCAGGTTGAGTCTAAGGGTCTCTGTGTGAGTCTCCCTGGGTCTCTGTGTGAGTCTAAGGGTCTCTGTGTGAGTCTATGGGTCTCTGTGTGAGTCTATGTGTCTCTGTGTGAGTCTATGTGTCTCTGTGTCTCTGTGTGAGTCTATGTGTCTCTGTGTGAGTGTGGGTCTCTACGTGCCGGCCTTAACGAGTGGTCGCTAACCGCGCACTTGGCCCCTTCAGACTGTGCAAGGCTTCACCGCTGCGGTGGGGGGGGGGGGCACCTTTGTCTTTGTTTGTGAAGGTGCGGGGGTCGCGGGGTCACGCGGGGTGGGAGAACAGCCTGAGACCGCGGCCCGCTCCACGCAGCTCCTTCCAGGCCGGGGGTGCCGTGGGGTTCAGCCCCCCACAGCCCACCCCCAAGACGCTCCGCAAGGTGCGCGCACACAAACGCGGTAACACGGGGAGTGCACACACACACACGCACACACACGCGGTAACACGGGGAGTGCACACACACACGCGGTAACACGGGGAGTGCACACACACACGCGGTAACACGGGGAGTGCACACACACGCACACACGCGAACACACAACAGTACAGGGAGTACACATGAGCACACGGACGCGCACAGAACAACACAGAGGGTACACACACGCACACGCACACACCCACAGCCTCCGTTCGTCGCTAAGTGGCGTTGATGTCACAACAGCTCTTGTGCCAGGCGAGGTGCACTTTGAGGTTGTCGTGTGAAGTGTTGAAGGCTCGTCGCTAGCAGGAGGTCACGGGACAGACGCAGGTGGTGCCATGCGTCAGCTGATTGAGATGACTGGAAGATGTACCCAACCGTGCTCCCCACTGCGCCCCCGCGCTGTGTACATGCGTGTGTACACACGTGTACACGCGTGTGCACACGCATGTACACGCGTGTGCACACGCATGTACACGCGTGCAAGTCCTTACACATTGCGCGTGCGCGCACTCGAGTATGTGTACACGCCAGTTCTGGTGTAAGCCTTTGTGCCCAAGTGCGTTCACCTTGTTACGTCTGCGCACGTACACGTCGGGTCTTATATGTGTGTGCATTTATCCACTTGTGTCCACAAGCATGTGTGTGGTTAGGGTCAGGGTTAGTGTCTGGGTGGCTAGTGTGGTTAGGGTCAGGGTTAGTGTCTGGGTGGCTGGTGTGGTTAGGGTCAGGGTTAGTGTCTGTGTGGCTAGTGTGGTTAGGGTCAGGGTTAGTGTCTGAGTGGCTAGTGTGGTTAGGGTCAGGGTTAGTGTCTGGGTGGCTGGTGTGGTTAGGGTCAGGGTTAGTGTCTGTGTGGCTAGTGTGGTTAGGGTCAGGGTTAGTGTCTGAGTGGCTAGTGTGGTTAGGGTCAGGGTTAGTGTCTGGGTGGCTGGTGTGGTTAGGGTCAGGGTTAGTGTCTGTGTGGCTAGTGTGGTTAGGGTCAGGGTTAGTGTCTGGGTGGCTAGTGTGGTTAGGGTCAGGGTTAGTGTCTGTGTGGCTAGTGTGGTTAGGGTCAGGGTTAGTGTCTGGGTGGCTAGTGTGGTTAGGGTCAGGGTTAGTGTCTGGGTGGCTGGTGTGGTTAGGGTCAGGGTTAGTGTCTGTGTGGCTAGTGTGGTTAGGGTCAGGGTTAGTGTCTGAGTGGCTAGTGTGGTTAGGGTCAGGGTTAGTGTCTGGGTGGCTGGTGTGGTTAGGGTCAGGGTTAGTGTCTGTGTGGCTAGTGTGGTTAGGGTCAGGGTTAGTGTCTGGGTGGCTAGTGTGGTTAGGGTCATGGTTAGTGTCTGGGTGGCTGGTGTGGTTAGGGTCAGGGTTAGTGTCTGTGTGGCTAGTGTGGTTAGGGTCAGGGTTAGTGTCTGGGTGGCTAGTGTGGTGAGGGTCAGGGTTAGTGTCTGGGTGGCTAGTGTGGTGAGGGTCAGGGTTAGTGTCTGGGTGGCTAGTGTGGTGAGGGTCAGGGTTAGTGTCTGGGTGGCTAGTGTGGTTAGGGTCAGGGTTAGTGTCTGTGTGGCTAGTGTGGTTAGGGTCAGGGTTAGTGTCTGGGTGGCTGGTGTGGTTAGGGTCAGGGTTAGTGTCTTGGTGGCTAGTGTGGTTAGGGTCAGGGTTAGTGTCTGGGTGGCTAGTGTGGTGAGGGTCAGGGTTAGTGTCTTGGTGGCTAGTGTGGTTAGGGTCAGGGTTAGTGTCTGGGTGGCTAGTGTGGTTAGGGTCAGGGTTAGTGTCTGGGTGGCTAGTGTAGTTAGGGTCAGGGTTAGTGTCTGGGTGGCTAGTGTGGTTAGGATCAGGACTAGTGTCTGGGTGGCTAGTGTGGTTAGGGTCAGGGTTAGTGTCTGGGTGGCTAGTGTGGTTAGGGTCAGGGTTAGTGTCTGGGTGGCTAGTGTGGTGAGGGTCAGGGTTAGTGTCTGGGTGGCTAGTGTGGTGAGGGTCATGGATAGTGTCTGGGTGGCTAGTGTGGTGAGGGTCAGGGTTAGTGTCTGGGTGGCTAGTGTGGTTAGGGTCAGGGCTGGTGTCTGGGTGGCTGGTGTGGTTAGGGTCAGGGTTAGTGTCTGGTTGGCTAGTGTGGTTAGGGTCAGGGTTACAGTGACAGACAAACATGTCTAAATAATACAAATAAAACAATAAAATTATTGTTTTTCGCTGTGGTTTTCACACCAGATGATGATTGCTTGTGTGGCAATCTAAACGTCGTGAGACATTTATTGTTTTATTTTGATTATTTTATTATTTCCCTTCTACGTGACTTTACCGAAAGAACCAAGAATGTGAATCCCTGCAGTCACGAAAGCTTTAAATCGAAAATTGTCTAAATAAATCAAGAGAATGCTGCTGCTGATGCTGATTCCCCCGAGTGCGTGCGTATCAGAGCGAGGCAGAGCCGCCACTGCGCTCGCCACCTGCTCAGGGCATCGCGCTTGCCACGTGTTTTTCGCTCTCGCGCCCGAAGTAGCTCCCGGCACGTGGAGCGAAACGTCGGACGTCGGGCCAAACGACCACGCGGCGGCACGACCACGCGGCGGCACGACCTGCGAGCCGCACGGTCCCCCGGCGTTCCGTCGTTCCGTCCGAATTGCCGGCGTTGCCGGATGGTCGTCGATTTTATCGGCGGCCGAAAAAAGGAAAGGGCAGTGGAAGTGGTTGGATGGGGCGCTGTGCTCTCTCCCCCACTCAGGGTGGGGGTCGAGTCGAGGTGGGGGAGGGGGGGATGGGGGAGGGAGCGGCTGGTCGGGACAGATAGGAGGTCTCATGGACAGGCTATGAGGCCTGGTCGTGGCTTCTGGCTGCAGTTTCCTGGAAATGAGGCTGACCACTGCCTACGGTCAACCGTGGGTGTGAGGAAGTCTACGGGGAGCGGCGGTGCAGCGGTTAGCGCCGCTGAACCGGTCCGGGGCCTAGGTTCACTCGGCCTTGAGCAAGTACCCTCGGCGCGGTGTGCGAACGCCGCCACCGGAGAGACAAAGGGGCCCGGGTGTGGCGCTTGCCACGCCGCCCCCTCGTGTGCCGTGCCGGCCTCCGTGGGTGATATTCGCCAGCAGCACTTCTCAAAGCGCCTGTCGAAAGCTGCACTGGCGGTGACGCAACTCGAACCGTACCCGGCAGTGATCGTCTCCCCAGCGCTGACGTTTACAACTGCCCCAGGCATTCAGGCTCGGTAGACCTCGGGACGGCCCTCACATATACACAACAACAACACTAAGTGGCGGTGACGTCACCACACACACTCACATACACTCACACACACACTCTCTCACACACACACAAACCTAACGAGAGATTTGTTTTCAAAAGCCTATTTTTGACAATGCACAAACACCCAGCGATCTGTGTGTTCGTGTTGACATTTGGGTTTTGTGGCAGTGGGGGATTGTGGGGGGTGTGTGGGGGTGTGTGGGTGTGTGGGCTAGCACTGGTCGTGAGATATCTCCGTCTGAACATCTGTCGTCAAACATCTGCTGAGCGGGCACATTTTTAATTTCATCCTGCCCCGTTGTGTCAGTGTGTGTCGTCAGTGTGTGTCAGTGCGTGTCAGTGTGTGTGTGTCAGTGTGTGTCAGTGTGTGTTGTCAGTGTGTGTCAGTGTGTGTGTCAGTGCGTGCCAGTGTGTGTTGTCAGTGTGTGTCAGTGCGTGTCGTCAGTGTGTGTCAGTGCGTGTCACTGTGTGTCTGTGTGTGTGTGTCAGTGTGTGTCAGTGCGTGTGTGTGGCTGTGGGGAGTGGTAGTGTGGCGATTAGCTCCCTGCGCTACGAACCGGGCAAGCTGAGTTCGATTCCCGCTCACGCCCAACACCGGTGACGATTTTTTGAACCGGTTCTGGGACTCCCCTGGGTCGACTAAGCCTCAAATGAACACCTGGTGTGGTGTGTAAAAATCGCCACGAGGAAGACAAAGGCGGCCGGGCGTGGTGCTGGCCGTCCTTCATAGGTGCTGCTCGCTAACACCACTTACTCCAACAGTCTGTTCAGGCTACACGGGGGCTCTTTGTCTTTGTGTACACACACACACATGCATTACTACTTGTGTGTATACTTGTGCCTATGTTCACACGTGTGTGCATTCCTGTCTGTGTGTGTGTGAACGTAAGCACGTGTGTGTGTCTCTCCCAACACGTTCTGTGTTGACACAAAAGTGTCCCGGCTTTTTCCAGTAAATGATTTCAGTTCGTGGTGGTGGTGGCGGTGGTGGTGGTGGCGGTGGTGGCGGTGGTGGCCTTTACCCTCCGGCTGATTTCTAGGAATCTCTCAAATCCTTAAACCTCAAAACCCACCCACCCCCCTCGCCCCCTTAACTCCTGGACCCCCCCCCCACCACTCCCCACCCTCCCTGCATTTCCTCCTCCGGCTCCCTTTAAATCTTGGCGTGCCGCTCAAACGCCACCCCGGGGAACGCGACGATGCAGCGGTTTATATCGCTCGGCACGATGCGCGTCGATGTCAACACCGCGGCAGCGGCCGCCTAAAATAGGGGAAGTATATCCCAGGCGGCGACGTCGTTCCGGCACAAAGGTCCTTCCTCGCAGCAGGCGGTGAGGAGGTGTGGTGCGGCGCCACTGGCAGCCCGCTATCAGCCGTAATCCCGATGGGTTCAATCAGTTTCGCTTGTAAACAAAGAGGCTTTGTTGACAAAAGGTTTTTGTTTACACGCGGCAGTGGGGGGCGTGGGGGCGGGGGAAGCTGGCACGCCCGGAGAATCCGTTCACATTTCTCTCTCTCGAACGCGAGGCAAAGGTGCAACTCGGAGAACTTCCACTGCCAACTCTGTGCACTGCAGCTGCGTGTCCGTGCGTCTCTCTGTGTGCGTGTGTCGTGTGTGTGCATGTGTGTGCGCGTGTGTCGTGTGTGTGCATGTGTGTGCATGTGTGTGCGCGTGTGTCCTGTGTGTGTGCGTGTGTCTTGTGTGTGTGCGTGTGTCCTGTGTGTGCGCGTGTGCCCTGTGTGTGCGTGTGTGTGTGCGTGTGTCCTGTGTGTGTGCGTGTGTCCTATGTGTGCGCGTGTGTCCTGTGTGTGCGCGTGTGCCCTGTGTGTGCGTGTGTGTGTGCGTGTGTCTTGTGTGTGCGCGTGTGTCCTGTGTGTCCTGTGTGTGCGTGTGTCCTGTGTGTGCGTGTGTGTGCGCGTGTGTCCTGTGTGTGCGCGTGTGTCCTGTGTGTGCGCGTGTGTCCTGTGTGTGCGTGCGTGGGGGAGCGGTGGCCCAGCCGTTGGCGCGCTGCGCTACGAACCCGGCGACCCGACTTCGATTGGCGCTCGCAACAAATAATTATCGGTGACGAATATCTGAACTGGGCCTGGGCCACCCCTAGGTCGACTCAGCCTCAAAATAGTACCTGGTGCTATGTGCATACATCGCCATTGGGGAGACAAAGACGGCCAGGGGTGGTGCTGGCCACCCACCCCCTCGTGTGACGTGTCAGCCTTCATAGATGCTCTCCATTTGCACTTGTCCCAACAGTCTATACGGAGGATCTTTGTCTTTGCCTGTTTGTGTCCTGTGTGCGTTTGTGGGTGGAGTGGTGGCGCAGTAGTTAGCGCGTTGCCCTACGACGCCCGGCGACCTGAGTTCGATTCCCGACTCCGGCCCACATCAGTGGCGCTAGTGATATCGGAACCGGTTCTGGGTCTCCCCTGGGTCAACTCAGCCTTAAATGGGTACCTGGTGTGCAGTGTAAACATCAGCACTGGGGAGACAAAGGTGTGGTGATGGCCGGTCTATCGGATCTAGGCTCGTGATTAATTGCTCGTTATGCAGGTGATTGATTATAATTGATTCATTGGTTGATTGTCGCGGGATTTTCCCGCAGTCTTTCCGCGGAGTGCCCAAGTCACCGGTTGCCATGGACATGGGGGGCTCCCCCCCCGAGCCCCGGAGTCGCCATGCCCCCCCCGGCCTCTCGCCCCTACCCACAATGCCGAGCAACCATGTCGCCACCCCCACAGCGTCACATGCTAGGGAAGAGCCGGTGAGAATTTATTGGACTTCGTCATTATCATCATCGTGGGCATCAGCATCATTGTTGTTATGATAATCATTGCGATTATCATTATTATCATAAACATCATTGTAGTCACTGTGACTGTTATCATCACTGCTATAAATCATCATCATCACCATCATCACCATCACCACCCACCACCGCCAATCACCTCCATGTCACTGTGTGTACTCCTGTCAGTCACCACCTCTTCCTCCTCCTCCCTCTCTCCCCTCCTTCCTCGTGGGCCGCAGGACGAAGGCTCTTCCTCGTCGCTCTCCTCCTCGTCGCTGTCCTCATCCTCGCTGCTGCCGCTGGCGCCGCCGCCGCCGCTGGGCGTGGGGGACCTGGTGTGGGGGAAGATCAAGGGCTACAGCTGGTGGCCGGGCTGCACCGTGTCCTGGCTGGAGACGGGCCGTGACCCCGCTCCGATCGGCTCCAGCTGGATCCGCTGGTTCGGAGACTGCAAGTTCTCCATGGTGAGCGAGCAACCCGCGCCGGCCGCGGCGACGTGTGTGTATGTGCGTGCCTGTATGTACGTGTGTGTATGTGCGTGCCTGTATGTACGTGTGTGTATGTGCGTGCCTGTATGTACGTGTGTGTATGTGCGTGCCTGTATGTACGTGTGTGTCCGCGTGCCTGTATGTACGTGTGTGTATGTGCGTGCCAGCCTTTATAAGTGCTCCCAAACAGTACTTGCCCCAACAGTCTGTTTAGACTATACGGGGGATCTTTGTCTTTGTGTAATGGTGTGGGGAGCGGTGGCGTAGTGGCTCGTGCACTGCCCCATGAACCCGTCGACCCGCATTCAAATCCCGCTCACTACAACTAACAGTGGCAAACCGGACCTGCGCATCTCCTAGGTCGACTCGGCCTGAAATGAGTACCCGATGCGTAACCATCAGCGCCATGGAGACAAAGGCGACTGTGCGTGGCGCTGGCCGCGTCACCTCCCCGTGCGCCGTGCCGTCCGTTAAGAGGTGCTACTTGCGAACGGCACTTGCCTAAGGCGCTGCTGAAGGCTACGCGGGGCATCTTTGTGTGCGTGTATGCGAAGGTGCAAGGGGACAAGCTGCGACCTCTGAGCGAGTTCAACGACCACTTCCACTTGGCCACCTACAACAAGCGGTCCGCCTACAAGCGGGCCGTCTACGAGGCTCTCAAGGTACCGCCCACCTCCTCAACCTATTTGTCGTCATCGTCATCGTCACCATGATGATGATAATTGGGGTCGGTTGACTCGTAGCGCCTGGGTCTGCCTCACGTGGCCATCGTAAACAACATCATCACGATCGTCGTCGTCGAGCAATTCATCATCGTCGTCGTCGTTGTCATCGTCGTCATTGTCGTCACCGTCACAATGGGGCTGCTCCTTGCCCAGTGGGCTGTGACCTGTGGCAAAAGAAATATCCACCAAACCAAACCCCCGGTTCTGCAGCAACCCCCCGAAAACACCCACGGGCTTCCCTGGGTCGGTCGTGCCTGTGGGGTCGTGCCCGTGACCCAGGCACCCCGGCGCCGCCACACAGTAGCACACGCGTGACGCCACGCGTGTGCGCGTGACGCCACGCGTGTGCTCTGTATGTGTGTGTCAGTGGTCCGGCCAGGCGGCGGCACACCGGCTGCGTTGAGCGCAGCATGTGCGAGGAGGGATGCCGAGAGTCAAAACCGATTGGGAAATAAATAAATAGACGCTCGCCGAGTCTTAACGGCTCCACGCAAGTTCGAATAGCGTGCTCGGCTCCCATTGGCTGGCGGGCAGCCGTCACGGCAGGGGTGGGGTGGGGGGCAGACGTAGGGCACGCCCAATCGGATTTGAAGGTGGAGAACGTTCAAATCCGATTGGTCGTCGGGGAAAAATAAATGCAAATGAGGGTTTCGGTTGGGAGACCGTTACGGGGGAAATGATTGGGATTAGTGGGGAGCAATGGAAAGATCGGGAAAGGATGGTGACGAGAATACAAGGAGGGGTAGCAGCACCTGGACGTGGTGATTCCCCGAGGAGGGGTCCCGAGCCTGACGCCTGCTGGATATTCAGAGTCCCCGTGACTTTCTTCCCCTCTTTGTGTGGATTTTTCTCCGGGTCCTCCAGTTTTTCCCTTCGCATTTAGAATCAACAACACGCGTTTAGAGTATTTGGGCTGCTATACATTTCCATGTGATGGCGAGATGTTAACTACCTCGCCTGGTATGCAGGAGGTCGTGGGTTCCATCCCGACCCTGACGCCTGCTGCTGCATATTTGGAGTTTGCGTGTCTCTCTCCCCGTGGTCGCGTGGATTTTTCTCCAGGTCCTCCGGTTTTTTCCTCCACATTTAGAATCACAGTGCGTTTAGAGCATTTGGCTGCAATGAATTTCCACATCATAAGCAACTTCATTGGGCTGTTATTTGTGGCCAGGTCGCTTCTGAAAAAGAGCTATATAGCTTTCCTGGTAAAATGATAAATAGTTTAGTGTAGTGAGTGACGCACTGTGGCGCGGAAGACGTGAAATTTAAGACGTTCAAGACTCACACGGCGGATCTCGCGGTGCTGATGCTGCTGCTGCTGCATTGTCAGCGGTGCACAAGCACAGTCAACAACAACACACTGTGTCAATCACAACACCGCGTGTGTGTGTGCACGTGTGGGGAGCGGGAGCGTAGCGGCTAGCGCGGGCACCCCCCCCCCCCAACGTGGACGGCCCTGGTGAAGGCTATATGGGTTGTCTTAAGAGGAGAAAACACAACAGACGACGTTTCGGGTAATGGCCCTTGTGCACAGCGCGCACCGCCTGCTACGTTGGTCCTGCGGCGGTGGCTCGCCCCTGCCTGGACGCGCGGCGCGGCTCCTGCCACGGTAACGTGGAATTGTGCGCGCAGATGGCGAGCCAGCGCGCGGGGAAGATCCTGGAGCCGGCGGCGGAGGGGGCCGCGGGGGGGCCGTTGGGGGTCACCGGCGGGGGGGAGGGGCTGGGGGGGTCGGCGGCAGCGGGGTCATCCGGGGTCGCCGGGGGGGAGGGGCCGCTGGGGGGAGGGGGGAGGGGGAGCTGTCCCCGGGCCTGGAGCGGGCGCTGAAGCCTCTGCTGGCCTGGGCCACCGGCGGGTTCCAGCCCACGGGCCCACGCGGCCTGCAGCCCACAGAGGGTACGCACGGTCACTCACGTACACACACACACTCACGTACACACACACACTTACATACACACACACTCACGTACACACACACTCACGTACACACACGAACAACACACACACACACACGTACACACACACTCACGTACACACACACACACGTACAGACACACACATACATGTACACACACAACACAGACAAAGATCCCCCTCATGTGGGCTTGACGGACTGTCGGGGCAAGTGCTGTTAGCGAGTGCCGCCTATGAAAGGCCGGCACGGCATGATTACCTGGTGCAGTGTGTAAACATCGCTACTGGGGAGACCACCCACCCCCTCGTGTGCCATGCCGGCCTTCATAGGTGCTCGCTAACAGCACTTGTCCCAAAAGCCTGTTCCAGCTATACGGGGGATCTTTATCTGTGTACACACACACGCGCATGCACGCCCGCCCCCGCCTAACAGCACTTGCCCCCAACGCTCGGCGAAGGCTACACGGTGGGACCCTTTGCCTTTGTGTCGTGACCGCGTGCCAGAGGATCGCAAGGCCCCCAAGAGGATGGCGCCGAGTCAACCGGAGGTCGTCCCCTTGGGCCCGGCGCCCAAGAAGCACAAAGCGGCTCCCCTGCCAGCGCTGCCCTGCGGCTCCAAGGGTGAGTGACCCGGTACAGAGGTCAAGGTGCAGCCCTGAAATTGGTTTGCAGTCGGGGGTGACAGCAATGAACGTTGCCGTGTTGTTATTATTTTTTGACTTCATATCGCGGCATTCGTGCGAATGGAATCACGGAGGGTAGTTTGCAGTTTTTTTTCGAACGGGAATCCGCAGACATAAACCCGGGCGCTGCCCACAATCTGCCAAGTTCTGTGGTCCTATATACTAGGATGTTTGACTGCTCGCTCACTGGTGGTTCCAACTTGTTTGTGCGGCCAGCGGTGGTGAAATTGACGCTCATTTGAAATGAGTGGGCGATCAGATGACTCGCTCTCTCGCGAGCCACGTCAATGAATGGGTTATGACCAGTGCTCTGTTTGTACTGTCTCATTTGTACTGCCGGTCCTGTTGAGATTGAATGGTGCACAGTTTGCGTGATGACGTGTGATGACGTGTGATGACGTGTGTGAATCGGGACGTTGATGGAAGCGATGAACGACGTTGTCCACTTTCAGATGTTCTCATCGAGCAGATCCGCATGAAAGTCCGGAACATTGAAGGTGAGCCACTTTCCTTAACGTGAACATTTTCCACGTCCGTGACCACGCGTGTCCATGAGCACGCGTGTCCTAGACCACGCGTATTTGCCACTGGGTGTGTCCTTGACCACGCGTGTGTCCGTTAATTCTGCCCTGGTGAATACCGCCGTGGGTATTGCTGTAACTCCATAGTGGGTTCACTGTGACGGTGTGTGCGTGTGTCTCCAGACATGTGCATGGGCTGTGGCAGTCTGTACGTGGCGGCTCAGCATCCGCTGTTCGAGGGAGGGCTGTGCCAGACCTGCAAGGTACGGATACCCCCACCGCCCCGGCCCCAATCGTCGCAATCATCGTAGGTCACGGACAACGTCAGAGGGTTTCGTCGCGACCTGTGCCCTTGGAAGTGTTCGTCGAACCGTCCAGCCGGCTGGCACCGTGGGGAGAACGTTTGACCTCCGTTTTTTTTTCCACTGGCACATCTGAGCCGAGCCAGAACCAAACTGTGCCATGCTTGTTGGCCTCCAGACAAGCCATCGGAATCTGGTTCGGGGCCAAGCAGGGCCAGGGGCGGGGGGAGGTTAATAACAATGAATGGTTGCGTTGAGTTGCTGAGAAATGTAAGCGCGCCACGAATACCAGCCCGTGCCCTAAAACCCGTGCCCTAAAACCCGTGCCCTAAAACCCGTGCCCTAAAACCCGTGCCCTAAAACACGTGCCCTAAAACCCGTACCCTAAATCCCGTACCCTAAAACCCGTACCTTAAATCCCGTACCCTAAAACCCGTACCCTAAAACCCGTACCCTAAAACCCGTACCCTCAGCAGTGTAAACGGTGGGGTAAAATGTGGGTAACCCCACCTCTTCCAATACGCAGGCCAAACTTGAGGCCCCCATCCGCAGCGTTGGCGTGAGCGGAGCAATTGCAGGGGCTGCGCCTTCACCCTCTGGCTTGAACCCCCCCCCCCCCCCACCGTGTATCCGTGACCCCGTCTGCAGGACACGTACCTGGAGTGCTCGTACCTCTACGACGACGATGGCTACCAGTCCTACTGCAGCGCCTGCTGCGCTGGCAAGGAGGTGCTCATGTGCAGCAAGGTCAACTGCTGCCGGTGAGTAAACCACCTCGTCGTGGTGGTGTCAATCATCATCGTCGCTGTTGCGTTCATCATCATCATCATTGTCATCGTCATCATCATCATCGCCGTCGTGTTCATCGTCATAATCGTCATCATCATCGACATCATCATCGCTATCATTGTTGCTGTTGCGTTCTTCATCATCGTCGTCACCGTTGCATTCGTCATCATCGTCATCATCATCTTTACAGTCGCGTTCATCGTCATCATCATCTTTACAGTCGCGTTCATCGTCATCATCGTCATCATCATCTTTACAGTCGCGTTCATCGTCATCATCGTCATCATCATCTTTACAGTCGCGTTCATCGTCATCATCGTCATCATCATCTTTACAGTCGCGTTCATCGTCATCATCGTCATCATCATCTTTACAGTCGCATTCATCGTCATCATCGTCATCATCATCTTTACAGTCGCGTTCATCGTCATCATCGTCACCGTGGAATCCCCGCGCAACAAGCGCCGCCGCCGCCCCCCCGCCGTGACCTATCCACTGCTGGATGAAATCTTTCCCCCCGAGCCGGCGCCGTCCGGAGCTCGGGCGCGCTCCCGCTCCGTCTCGCTCGGTCTTCCAAACTGGCGGCCGCTGGTGGGCCAGGCCGGCCAGCTGGGCCCGTGGCGGCCTGGGTGCAGCTACAAGCTCTGTTTGTGTCGCAGGCTAACGACTTCCTCCCGCCCCATCCGCCCGCAGGTCGGCGCGTCATTGTCACGCCACGCGTCTGGTTTCCCGCACGACACCCGACCCCTCGCCGCCCCCCCCCCCCCACCGCACACACCCCACCCCCCCCACGGCCCCCCCCCCAAACTTCTATACTCTTGTCGTCAAAGTCACGGGAAGCCTTCGTGTGAAATGAGTGAGCGCACGGCGGATGAGCGCTCTGAGCGGAGACGGTCGACCGTGTCGTGGTGTGCCGGGCGCAGGGTGCGTTGTCCGCGTCGCTGGGGATCGCGCGCAGTCGCAGCAATCATCGCCCCCCTCCGCCAAACCGATGGCCGCTCGCAATGCGAGCCTCCGAGCTGCCTTGAGCTGCACAGGGATGGCTGCCAGGGGTGGGGGCGAGATGTTAACTAACTCGCCTGGTGTACGGGAGGTCGTTGGTGTCGATCCCGACTCATATTCGGAGTTTGTGTGTCTCTTTCTCCCTGTGGTAGCGTGGATTTTTCTTTGGGTCATTCGTTTTTTTCCCTCTCCGCACTCACAATCAGCGTTACGTGCTCAGAGTATTTGGTTGCTACAAATTGCCACGTGATGATAAGCCACAGCTATCGTTCGTGACGGCCAGGCCGCTTCTGAAAAAGAGCCGTGCAAAGGCTCAGTGGGCCATTGCCTGGTAACACAACAACGAGTTCACCGTTTTATAGTTTCATTCTTTGAGACGGGACGCTCGCCGCAAACCTTCGCGCGACGCTCGCCCCTGCCGCCGCCCGCCGACACGGTGCGGGCGGCGGGCGACCGCCAGAGCCAAAGTGGACGCTGTATGCCGGGGCGCGCAGCTGCTTCTGCATGGAGTGCGTGGAGCTGCTGGTGGGGGCCGGGGCGGCGCAGGCGGCGGTGGCCGAGGACCCGTGGACCTGCTACATGTGCCTGCCGCACGGCACCAACGGGCTGCTGCGGCGCCGCGACGACTGGGCCACGCGCCTCCAGCTCTTCTTCACCAGCGACCGCGACCAGGAGTTCGTGAGTGGCTCGCCTCCCCCGTGCGTTCTCCGCCGCCCGTCCGCGGCGAGCAATGTGCACGTTCAGCTTATTGGAGAGTATATTTAGTATACTGATGATACTATGTAGTGTATACTTTAGTTTTTTACGTGGTTGTTTAGTTACTGCAGCTACATACTATTAACATTCCTTCCCTTTATTAATGCTACCCCTATCCCCTCCCTTTGATGCTGCTAATCCTGCATAATGCACGGGCATAATATGACTTTGAAACCCCCCGCACACCTCCTACGCATTTCACAAGTAGTACTAATCACATACCTGCATTTCCCATAAATATGCTAAATTCATCTTGATATGCAAATTATTTTGTCAAGGCGCCCTTCCCCCCTTCCAACCCAGCTTAAATATACGCTCCAAACGTGGTGGTGTTTCATTCAGACGCTGTCTCCCCGACAAACCTGGTCTTCACCTGAGGACGGCTGCTTGCGTTGTGGCCGAAACGTCGTGAGAATTGTATTTTATAATGTTTTATTTTTATTATTTTATTATTTCCCTTCTACGTGACTTTACCGAAAAAACCAAGAAGATGAATCCCTGCAGTCACGAAAGCTTTAAATCGAAATTTAATGTGCACGTTGCTCGCAGCGCGCTGCCGTGCCGTGGCGGCCTTGGTCGGCGCCTCTGCCGCCTCTGCCGCTCGCCAACGGCACTCGCTCCCTACGGTCTGTTCAAGTCCGTTATAGAGGGGTTTTTTTGGGGGTTAGATCGCGTAAATGTTAATGTGTCATTAAACTCACCACCACCCGACACAGCCAATTAGTAAGGTTTGTCACGTGAACACAACGTGCCAATTCGTTACTAGTACAGCACACTTTTATATTTACGCAATCTAACTCAAAAAAACTTCTATTATGGATGATATTGGTCGCGAAAACCCTACTACTACTGCGTGTTAAACTGGTTTGTTGAAGGCTACCTGGGGAACCTTTGTCTTTGTGTGCGCAGGAGCCCCCGCGTCTCTACCCCCCGATCCCGGCGTCTCAGCGCAAGCCGATCCGTGTCCTCTCCTTATTCGACGGCATCGCTACAGGCAATCCCCCCCGCACACACGCACAGATACGCGTGCACACACACAGACATGCACGCACACACAGGCACAGACACACACGCACGTGCTCACAAAGACAAAGATCCTCCGTATACCCTTAACAGACTGTTGGGGCAAGTGCTGTTAGCGAGCAGCACCAATTAAGGTTGGGTGGACAGTACCGAGCGGTTGGGTGGCCAGCACCATGCCTCCTGCCGCACCGGATCGGGGTCGCTGTGAAGCAGTGGGATGCTCCTGAGCCAGCCCTCGCCAGCTCGCTCCTGAGCCAGCGCTCGCCAGCTCGCTCCTGAGCCAGCGCTCGCCAGCTCGCTCCTGAGCCAGCCCTCACCAGCTCGCTCCTGAGCCAGCCCTCACCAGCTCGCTCCTGAGCCAGCGCTCACCAGCTCGCTCCTGAGCCAGCGCTCGCCAGCTCGCTCCTGAGCCAGCCCTCACCAGCTCGCTCCTGAGCCAGCCCTCACCAGCTCGCTCCTGAGCCAGCGCTCACCAGCTCGCTCCTGAGCCAGCGCTCGCCAGCTCGCTACCACCGCCACGGTTGCCGCTCCCGCGAGCGCGACTCGTTGATTTGTCCACGCACGTTGGGGCCTGTGCCAGACACACTCACTCTTCCGTCTCATCCGCACACGCTGAGCGTATTTTGATTTTGCACGGGGACCCGGGTCGCTCTCGCGAATGAGACCCATTCTGTTCTCTTCAGTTCTCACGGCTAAACAAAATAAACTTGCGCACGCACGCACGCACGCGCACACCCGCACGCGCACGCACACAGGGCTTCTGGTGCTCAAGGAGCTGGGCCTCAAGGTGGAGCGCTACGTGGCCTCCGAGGTGTGCGAGGACTCCGTGACGGTGGGGCAGGTGCGTCACGAGGGCAAGATCACCTACGTGGGAGACGTGCGCAACATCACCCCGCGCAACGTGAGTGCCCGCCCGCGGCGACGCCCGGACGCTTGCTCCCCCGCCCGCCCGTCCATTAACCCGTTCGCTCACTCGCTCGCCAGCCCGCTTGCTCACTCACTCGCTCACTCGCTCGCTTACCCATCCGTCTGTTCAGTCACTCGCTCACTAGCCCGCCCGCTCGCTCGCCCGCCCACCTTTTCACTCGCCCGCCCACCTTTTCACTCGCCCACCCACCTTTTCACTCGGCCGCTCACTCGCTCGTTCGCCCGCCCATCCGCCTGTTCACTCACTCATTCGTGGACACACAGGTGTGCTCATACGAGACACATGAAACATGCACGTCCATGTTTCTTTGTGTGAGTCGATGGGTCTCTATGCGAGCGTGGCCCAGACCTTCAACTCTCTGTGGCCGTGGCGGCTCACACCCGGGTCCAAACCCCGGATCTCAGCCTCTCCGACACGGCCATTATGAACCCCCCCCGCGTCTCCCCGCGTTTCCGAGCAGAGTTTCCGTGACCTTTGACCGCCCGCTCGCTGTGTGTTTACGAACGCGCGCGTTTTATTTTTACGATCGCCCCCGAATTGATTTACGATCGCCCCCCCCCCCCACCCCTGTGACCCCCCTCCCCACCGCGACCCCCTGCGACCCCTGTGACCCCCTGGGCCAGATTGTCGAATGGGGGCCGTTTGACCTGGTGATCGGAGGAAGTCCCTGCAACGACCTGTCCATTGTGAACCCCGCCAGGAAGGGTCTCTACGGTGAGATTATTTGTGCTCTCTCTCGCTCTCTCTCTGTCGCTCTCTCTGTCGCTCTCTCTGTCACTCTCCCGTATAGCCTGAATACCCTCATGGCTACTGCAACCACCACAACCAGCAACTACCACCACCACGGTGTTACCGACTGGCTACCACCAAGTAGGTGGGGTTGTTGGGGCAAGTGCTGTCAGCGAGCCCCAATGCAGGCCAGCACAGGGTTGGTTGGCCAGCACCACGCCCGGCCACCTTTGTCTCCCGCGTGGCGATGTTTAGGCACCGCGGCACCGGGCAGTCATCCTAGGGCTATTCGACCGAGGGGAGGCCCGGGACCGTTTCGCATGAACGTCACCGGTGTTCGCCCTGAGCGGGAGTCAAACTCGGGTCGCCGAGTTTGCAGTGCAGTGCGCTGACCATTGTGTCACCACTCCCCCATTCTGCACAAAGACAAAGGATCCCCCCGTGTAGCTGCCACGGACTATTGGGGAAAGTCCCGTTCGCGAGCAGCGCCTATGAAGGCCGGCGCGGCATTGTACGCACGCGCACACTTGCGCCCTCCACCTCTCACACACCTCCCCCTCGTTCCCCCCTCTACCCCCCCCCCCCCCCCCCGGCACAGAGGGCACGGGCCGCTTGTTTTTCGAGTACTACCGCCTGCTGCACGAGGCACGGCCCTCGACCACGGACGAGCGGCCATTCTTCTGGCTCTTCGAGAACGTGGTGGCCATGGGCGTCAGCGACAAGCGCGACATCTCCCGCTTCCTCAACGTGAGGCGGCCTCACTACGACACCGGCCTCACCGCGACCCGGACTCATCACACATACACACCACACACACACCACACACACACACACCACACACACTACACACCACACACACACACCACCCCATGTGACATGATACAGCCTCACCACGGTCCAGCCACAACACGAACCGCCCTCACCGCAGCCACTACCAACAGAGTTGCTGTTGTTGTTGCTGCTGGCGTGGAAAGGAGCCCAGCCAGCAGCCAGACAGTAAGCAAACTCGAGGCATCGATTATAATTTTAATCCTAGTACGATGATATACACAAGTGAGTTGTTGCTAAGTGGTTGCTGTGCAGTTGCTATGCCGTTGTTATGGGGTTGCTATGCGGTTGCTGAGTGGTTGCTATGCGGTTGGTGAGCGGTTGCTGTGCAGTTGCTATGCGGTTGCTGAGTGGTTGCTATGCAGTTGCTATGCGGTTGCTATGCGGTTACTGTGTAGTTGCTGAGTGATTGCTATGCGGTTGCTGAGTGGTTGCTGTGCGGTTGTGCGGTTGCTGTGCGCCACAGTGCAGCCCCACGATGATCGACGCCAAGGAGGTTTCGCCAGCTCACCGCGCGCGCTACTTCTGGGGCAACCTGCCCGGCATGAACAGGTGACGAGACGCCTTCATCCCGCAGCGGAGTGATGACAATAAGAATGGTGGTGGCGGCTGTGGTGGTGGTGGTCGACTCAGCCTTGGTGCGGTGTAAACATCGCCACTGGGAAGACAAAGGCGGCCGGGCGTCGTGCCGGGCACCTACCCACCTTGTGTGTCGTTTTGGCCTTCGTAGGTGCTGCTCGCTAACGGCACTTGCCCTATTAGTCTGTTAGGGCTATACGGGTGACCTTTGTCTTTTGGTGGTGGTGGTGGTGGCCGCTATGATGGTGATAATGATTATGATGGTGGGAGTAACGATGCTTCCATTAGCAAGTTCAACATACATGCTGATGATGATGGTGATAATGATGTTGCTGATGATGATGACGACAATGACGACGATGATGATGATGATTATGACGACGATGACGATGACGACGATGATGATGACGACGACGACGATGATGATGATGATGATGACGACGATGATGATGATGATGATGACGAAAATGACGATGATGACGATGATGATGATGACGATGATGATTATGACGATGATGATGACGACGATGACGACGACGACGATGATGACAACAATGACGACGATGATGACGATGATGATGATGATGACGACAATGACGATGATGACGATGACGATGATGACGATGATGACGATGATGATGATGACGACAATGACGATGATGATGACGATGATGATGACGACAATGACGATGATGACGATGACGACGATGACGACGATGTCTCCTCCGTGTAGACCGCTCTTCCCGTACACGACTGACAAGCTGGAGCTGCAGGATTGCCTGGAGCACGGCCGCATGGCCAAGGTGAGGACATGGGTGGACAACCACCACCCTGGGAGGGTGGACAACCACCACCCTGGGAGGGTGGACAATCACGACACTGGCAGGGTGGACAACCACCACCCTGAGAGGGTGGACAATCACGACACTGGGAGGGTGGACAATCACGACACTGGGAGGGTGGACAATCACGACACTGGGAGGGTGGACAACCACCACCCTGGGAGGGTGGACAATCACGACACTGGGAGGGTGGACAACCACCACACTGGGAGGGTGGACAATCACGACACTGGGAGGGTGGACAACCACCACACTGGGAGGGTGGACAATCACGACACTGGGAGGGTGGACAATCACGACACTGGGAGGGTGGACAATCACGACACTGGGAGGGTGGACAACCACCACCCTGGGAGGGTGGACAATCACGACACTGGGAGGGTGGACAACCACCACACTGGGAGGGTGGACAATCACGACACTGGGAGGGTGGACAACCACCACACTGGGAGGGTGGACAACCACTACACTGGGAGGGTGGACAACCACCACCCTGGGAGGGTGGACAACCACCACCCTGGGAGAGTCAGAGTGAGTCAGGTTGAGTGAGTGTGAGAGTGGGTTGGAGTGAGTGAGAGTCGGGGTGAGTGTGGCGTGCGTGTGGTGGTGGTGGCGTGTGCGTGGTGGTGGTGGCGTGGTGGTGGTGGCGTGTGGTGGTGGTGGTGGTGGGTGCGTGGTGGTGGTGGTGGCGTGTGTGTGTGTGCTTGCTCTGGGGAGTGGTGTTGTAATGGTTAGTGCCGCACTACAAACCCGGTGATCCGAGTTCGATTCCCGCTCACAGCCAACACCATTGAAGATTATCTGAACTGGTCCTGGGAACTCCCCAAGGTCGACTCAGCTTCAAATGAGTACCTGGTGCGGTGTGTAAAAAAATCGCTACTGGGGAGACAAAGGCGGCCGGGCGTGGTGCTGGCCACCCACCCCCTCGTGTTCCGTTCCGGCCTTCATAGGCGCTACTCGCTATATGGGGAACCTTTGTCTTTGTCTCTCCGCTGCAGTTCAGCAAAGTGCGCACCATCACCACGCGCTCCAACTCCATCAAGCAGGGCAAGGACCAGCACTTCCCCGTGATGATGAACGGCAAGGACGACATCCTGTGGTGCACCGAGATGGAGAGGTGAGCGCCACGCCCGCCACTGGCATTCGCCAGCCGGGTCGTGCCCCGGCTGGCAGGAGTGAGTAGCTCTTCTCCTGTGGGGGAGGAGGCTCGTGACTGGGCCAGTTGGGGGCAGTCGCTCCCCCCCCCCCCGGCAACAACGGAGGGCGGAGCAGCGACGCGGTGGGGGAGTGCAGGTAGTGCATCTGCCGGCCATCTCACTCGGCAACTTTGATGACATTCAATTCTTATACATCACCCCCCCCCCCTTGCCCCCCCCTCCTCCCCGACCCCTCCCCAGGATCTTCGGTTTCCCCGTGCACTACACCGACGTGTCCAACATGAGCCGCCTGGGTCGCCAGCGCCTGCTGGGCCGCTCCTGGAGCGTCCCCGTCATCCGCCACCTCTTCGCTCCACTCAAGGATTACTTCGCCTGTACTTAGAGGGGCGGGGGGTGGAGGGGAGGGTGTGGAGGGGGAACGGGGGGGAGGGGCCGGCGGAGAGCGGCGGTGGTGGCGACGACACACGGTGGGGGTTTGGTCGCGCGTGGTGCTAGCCGCCCACCCGCCTCGTGTGCCGTGCCGGCCTTCGTAGGTGCTGCTCGCTAACAGAGCTTGCCCCAACAGTCTGTGAAGGCTACAGAGGGGATCTTTGTCTTTGTGGGTTGTGGGGGGGGGGGGGGGGCGGCAGTCACGTCACGTGACCACTTAACCGCACCGCTTCACTTCTTAAACCGGGAGGTACGGCCTGTGTCGGCCCCTCCTCGACCCACCCCTTACCCCCCCTTCCCCCCCATTCCCAGCACCACCACAGCCACCAGTCAAACTCAGGTGCTCCAAACTTTAGCGTCGGCGCTGGCTCGACCAATCGCGGCGGTCGGTCGTCGCGAAGCATGCGGAGACGGCGTGGCGACGAGCCTCGTTTGACCCCTGACCTTGATCCCGCTACCCTCATCGTCGTCGCGTTCGCCCGCCCTCGGTGTCCATCTCGGGACAGCGGCGGTGGCGGCGGTGGCGGTGGTGGTGGCGGTGGTGGCGGCGGTGGTGGCGGTGGTGGCGGTGGTGGTGTGGTTTTTATCGTTCTTGTTTAATCCCCGCCCCTTGCTGCGTGTTGGCCCCGAGGGGTGGGACTGTGGGACGGGGGTGGGGGGGGATGGTGGATTGAGGATGTGTGTACGTATGTGTGTGTACGTATGTGTGTGTACGTATGTGTGTGTACGTATGTGTGTGTACGTATGTGTGTGTACGTATGTGTGTGTACGTATGTGTGTGTACGTATGTGTGTGTACGTATGTGTGTGTACGTATGTGTGTGTACGTACGTTTGTTGAACTTCTTTCTCACCGTACGTAGCCAACTCTGCTAATCGGAGGTGCGGTGAGGGGTGAAGGACAACAAGCTACACACAACAAGCAGTTCAAGCGAGATGAGTGGCGGATGAGCCTCACTCACTCACACGCTCGCTCGCCCGTCCCGCCTGTCCACCGGTCCGGCAGTCAGGACCTTCTCTCGCCCGTCCGTCCGTCCCTCTGTCCGGACATCCGTCCGTGCGCTCGTCTGGCCGCGCGTGTGGCTGGTGAGATTTCGGGTTTGTCCGCGTCGGAGTCTCTAAAACATATTTCCGTGCCCGGCACACCACGTCGGGTATCCCTCCGGCCGTGGCTACCTCCCCCGTCGCGTGCGATCGGTCGATGACCCATCGCACACCCCCTGTCCACGCGACTTCCCCTCTGCGGTGGACACATCGAGGCGATGCTCCCACGGTGAAAAGCGATTGCACAGTTTTATGTCTGTCTCTGTGTCTGTCTCCGTGCTTGTGCCTGTGTCCGTGGCTGTGTGTTTATAAACGTGCGTTTATAAATGTCCACGTGGTGACCAGCCACTTCCTTGAGCTGTCATTTGTGGCCAGGTCGCTTCTGGAAAATAGCTTCATAGCTTAGTGGACCTTACCTGGTCAAATACAATTGTTTTAGTTTAGTTTAGTCTGTCTATCTCTGTGTGTTTCTGCTTTTGATGGGCTGTATTTTTCTCAATGTCTGTCTGTGTGTGTGTACATGTATGTGTCTTTGTACATGTATGTGTACATCTCACATTTGTGCGTTTCCCAATGCACATATTTTGTATGTGTACGCTAGTGTTGTGATGTTTGTGTGTCGGTCTTAATGCGTCTGCGTGTATATCTGGTCTCCTGTTCTATGTCACTAATGTTCACTTATGTTTGCACATCTGTGCATGTCTTTATCTCTGTCTTCATATCTTCCTGTGTAGATACGTTCGTGTGTGTCTCACTGTGTCCCTGTCTCATTGTGTCTCTCGTTATCAGGACTTGTATCTCCGTGTGTGCCCCTACGTCTCACTGTGTCGCTGCGTTCTATTTGTGTGTCTGTCTCGGTGTGTCTGTCTCGGTGTGTCTGTCTCGGTGTGTCTGTCTCGGTGTGTCTGTCTCGGTGTGTCTGTCTCGGTGTGTCTGTCTCGGTGTGTCTGTCTCGGTGTGTCTGTCTCGGTGTGTCTGTCTCGGTGTGTCTGTCTCGGTGTGTCTGTCCGTGTTCCCGGTCCGTCCGTGTCTATGACACCCAGCTGCCTTAAACGTGGGCAAAAAACTCCCGTTCACGTTTCCTAAACCGTCGAAGTTTCAATTTTAGTCGTCGGTTTGAGTTTAAATCTTTGGGTTTCCCGGCCACGTCCTGCCCCGTGATATTGCCAGTCTCATCCGAGCATCGCGACGGTGCAGATGGTCTCGTTGCAAATTAAGAAGAAATAAAATACCGACGATAAATATCGTCATTAACAAAACAATAACGTCTTAGTTTAATTCATCTTCTCTTCCCCCACCGGAAGAGAAAGATGGAAATCGTCAACGCAAGAAGTGACGATTGCAGCGAGACTTCACACCGTTGTTTTATTTTTACTTAAATGTCTAATTGGCTACATCGGTAGAGCTGGACGTGTATTACACCGTGTAGGCGGCGTTTGTGCACTTATCCACAGTTCTGTGGCCGGGGCACAGGATGGCATGAATTTTAAACCCTCACCTCTTTCCCCGTCCCCCGTCTTTCGACAACTCATCAGCAGCACGCCGCCAGTAATCGACAGCCCGCTCTGACTCCGCTGCTGGATGAAGGCCTCCCCCCACCTCCGCGGTACTGCCCTTCGTCGCGGGGGGGGGGGGGGGGGGGGTCAGCAGGTTCACCACGGGGCACGGGCGGTGGACGGGACTCCCTGTGTGGGGTGGGGTAAAGTGTGGGGACTTCCACCACCTCATCAGCGTGGAGAGAGAGAGAAGGCCGCCACACACCGATAGAGCACCCTTCTCTCTCTCTCTCTCTCTCGTGGAGGAGGAGGAGGCCTTCCCCTGCTCCACTTGCAGCGGTATAATGATCAGGACAATTGCAGGCCTGCCCCTTTACCTTAGAGCAGAGGGGTCAACAACTGAAAAGCGTAACGGTAAAAAAATTGTCCGATTCTCGGCTGCGATTTTAAAACTCGCGTGAGCGTTTGTGTGCGGCTTTACGATCGGTGTGCGGTGTGTTTTTAGACCCCCCCCCCCCTCTACAATTATTATTTTAAAATAATTTTATAGATTCCCTTGATTCTTCAGACCCCCCCCCCCGCTCGCATCGCGATTGCGTAACCCGATTATAATCACCAGCATCACTCGCGCGCAGGCGCACACACACAGACCGACGTCTACCTCAATACAACGATAACTCAGTCACTCTTACACGTACGACGCCATCAACGCCATCGTCATCACCATCGCCATCGTCATTATCCTCGCCATTGTCACCATCGTCACCACCGTACCCATCGTCACCACCACCACCATCATCATCGTCACCACCGTCCCCATCGTCATCACTGTCACCACCATCACCACCATCGTCACCTGTGAACCTATCTCACCCGTACCTGGTGCTCTCCGCACAGCGCGAGGGGTCCCTCCCCGTGCGGTATTGCGCGGCGCGGAACGAAAACTGAAAAAAGTGAAACGGGGAGTTGACAAGTCCACGTGACCTTTTGTGCGGTCGGGGGGGGGGGGGGGGGTTGGGAGCACGCGGAGAGAGGGGGACAGAGGGGTGGAGGGGGGAGTGTTGCAGTGTGCAGCATGCAAGCAGCCTGGAGAGAAACTGGCCCCACGCCTGACCACAGTGGCCAATGGCAGGCCAAGTCCCACTCTTACCCCAAACCAAACACCCCGCCGATCTCGTAACCCAATGGTAACTCATGTTACGGATGTTGAACTTCTTTCGCACCGTCCGTAGCCAACCGCTCTAGCCGTACCGCTAACCCGACCGCAAAATGAGCCAACCAGACACTGGCCACTAACCATAGCCCCGAGCCGGATTGGCCAATCAGACCATAGCGTTCGCCCAAACCCCCCTCGACATTCTTCTTGGTTCTTTCGGTAAAGTCACGTAGAAGGTGAAGAACAGGTCTGTCGACAGACCTGTTCTTCAACTGAGGACGGCTGCTTGCATTGTGGCCGAAACGTCTTGAGAATTATTTTATGATGTTTTATTTTTATTATTTTATTATTTCCCTTCTACGCGACTTTACCAAAAGAATCCCTGCAGTCACGAAAGCTTTAAATCGAAATTTTCCCCCTCGACCTGTTTGCAAAAAAAGCTGCAACCCCATCTGGGACTTCGTCCATTCCCCTTTTTTCAGTTTCTGTTCCGCTTTTCACTTTTGGGTGCTCAGCGCCACGCGCCGTGGCGGCGTTGCCGGTGCCGAGATTTGTGCCCCCCCCCCCGTGCGCGCGCGACACCCAGGGCAACGTCGCCGGCAACTGTTGCCTAGCCGGTAATCGTCACCAGCAGTGGCTATACGCGAATCATTCTGTTGTTGTTGTTGTTGCTGTGTCCGTTGTGTAAACAAAATCAAAACGGTGAATTCGAGTTTCCCAAACGTGGACGGTTCCCAGTGCTGCCCCCGCACAGGCGGAGGTCACGTGACCACGGTGATGTCACGTGACCACGGTGATGTCACTTGGGGGGGGGGGGTGCAATAGTTAATAGTTGACGATCCAGACCGTGACCTGAACAAAACCCACACCTGCCTCCCTCCCTCCCTCAACTCGGGGGAGACACCCCGGGACACACAGCCCGTGTGGGGTAGCTGCCCCACCACCCCGCCTTTCTAGGACCAGGTGTGGGCAGGGATGGGTGAGGGTTCCTGGTGAGTAGGGCAGGGATGGGTGAGAGGGTTCCTGGTGAGTAGGGCAGGGATGGGTGAGAGGGTTCCTGCCTGGTGAGTAGGGCAGGGATGGGTGAGGGTTCCCGTCAGTAGGGCAGGGATGAGTGAGTGCCCCGGGAGAGCCACGTGTCTCCGTCATGGTGGGGAGGGGGGGATGATTAGAATCAGGAAAGTGTCGCCCGGCTCACGGAAGGGTCCCGCTACTGTTTGTCCACGTCCGTGTAGAATGGGCGCTTGGTTCGTGGGAGCGGTCAAGCGGAGAGAGCCCCCCACTTACAGTACCAGGGTGGCTAGCACTGGCTGCTAGGTCCATACAGGCGGGTCTGTGTTAATAGCCGACCCGCTTGCTGTACTGCCAGCTCGTGGCCAGTCGCACGCAAGGAGCGAGTTGAGTCGCGCGTTGATGATGTGGCCAACGACACCACGTGCTCACGGCGTACCGAGTGACGTCACAAACAAACGCGTCATCAGCCCCTCCCCACCCACCCACCCTATCCCCGTGGCCTCGCGTGTGTCGTGAGGCGAGCGTATAGGTAAGCACGGTTTGGTTCCGGCTCGGCTAATAGAAAAAAAAAACACACCCGTACCGTGATGGCCCCGTGCTGGCTCGGCTCGGACGTGCCAGTGGGAGAAAACAAATGGGAACTTTACAGGGCCACTTGCGGCTGTCGTCGTGATCATCGTCATCATCAGCAGCTGTAGCCTCGTCAGGGTGGGGGCCACGTGTCGACCCCGCGGGAACCAGGACCAGGCCCGTGGCGTCTCGGACATTCTCAACCAAACGCCACTCAGACTATTGCCAAAGGACATTGTTATTACTGCTACTCGACTCTTACTACTATTACGCATTTTAAAACAATAATAAAGTAGGCTTAAGGTTTTTAACGGAGGAAAACTAAAAAAAAGACAAAAAAACCATTCTTGTTATTGGTGCTATATTTTTGGGGTGTTTTGTGAAATAATGACGTTAGAGCAGATTTTGGATTTTAAAGTGAAATGTGTTTTGGGGTGGGGGGGGGGCGGCGGAGGGACTTGGGTGTGGGGTTATGGGGGGGGGGGGCTAGGGGGAGTGGGGGGTTGGGGTTAAGATGTTGGGAGAGAAACGGAGAGAACGCGGTACCTAAATGGGATAATGGTGCTCTAGTTGTGGAATATCACGGGACGGGCGATGTCTCTCCGTGACCGCGCCACGGCGTTTGTGAGTTGTCGTTGTTTTACCGTTGTCCTCAGGCCGTCTAGGAATCGTGGTGCCTTTTATCGTAATAGGTATTATTATCATTATTACAACACACACAAAAACACGGAAAATTGTATGGGGGGGGGGGCAATTATATTCGAGGAACGCTGGCTACTCCCGAGGTTTGACGACCTCTCATTATCCGACCAGCTTAGGTCAATTACCACACACCCCCACACACACCACGCACCCCCACACACACACCCCCACACACACCACACACATACACCACATACACTACACACACACACCACACACACACTACAACAACCGCCATTCGCCACTAAGTGGCGGCGACGTCACCACGACGCTTGTGCCAGGCCATGTGCACCTTGAGGCCACGTGAAGTGTCGAACGCCCGCTGGTAGGTCACGGGGCAGACCCAGGTGCCACGGGTCAACACATACCACACACACTACACCCACACACCACGCCTACTACACACCACACATACGACACCCACACACACCGCACACTACACCACCCACACACCACACATAGAAATCAAGGTGCTTTGTTGTGGAGTGGTGGTGGGGGCTTTTATTTTGAAATTGCCCCTCGTGTTCGCAGTCACGTTGTACTCTGTCGGCTCGCGACGTGGAGCGGACGTTTGAATCTCGCACCAGCTGAGATGGGGGAAACCCCACCCCCGGTCGCGCATGGGGTGTGTCCGAGATGGGTTTTCGCTATTGCACTGCAGCTGCTGCTACAGTTGCAGCTGCTTCAGTTGCAGCTGCTGCTGCTGTAACCGCTGCAGCTGCTGCCGCTGCAGCCGCTGTAGCCGCTGCAGTCCCTCTATCAGCTGCGTGCTTGCGGCTGTGCCACCGCGTGCTATCTCGACGTTTCCATCCCACGTGCCGAGAACGCCTCGAGGAATCTCCCCACCGCCCAATGACAACGGTTCCTGAAGCGGCACGTGGAACGCGAAACGTCGGACGTCGTTCCGAACCAACGACGCGCGGTGTGACGCGTGGCCGCGACGCTGAGAGAGGCGGAGAGCGGTCATCGTCGTCAGAAATCGGCAGCAGCGCACCCTCATCAAGGGCCACCACCACCATCGTTTGGTATCGTTCTACGGTTCGTCATGTATCATGTAGGCTCGAGTGAAGGCCACTCTGTAAATGTAAAATTAGATTTCGACGATGCTGGTAAATTGGACAATTATGTTTTGCATGTGTGAATCAAATGCCACGGCAAACGCGAAGCTATTTACATCGCATCTCAAACATTCGAAGCACACCCCCAGTGGCAGCTGTCCCTGCGTGGCACGAGGTGACGCAGCACCCGGCCTGGAAGCGGGCATCAGTCTCTCCAGTCGGGGTGATGACTGCTGCGGCTGCTGTGTACGTGCGTGCCATCCCAATTGCGTAATTCGCGGAGTGAATTTTTTTATTTGGGCAAATGTGGACCCTGACGGCGGCACGCGGTGGCCAGCTCTTGCAAATCACGCCACGGGATCTTTACCGCGAGGCCACGTCTGCCAGTCGGGCAGGAGGGGAGGGCGATGCGTGGATGTGGAACTTGTGTCGCGCACCGTGCATAGCCAGCGTCGTGTTAATCGGAGGTGGGAGCCCTGCCTCGTCTTGCGATGATGATGATGACGGCGGTGTTGATAATGACTGTGATTATGGCAGTGATGCGATACGTTACGTTTCTGTGTGATGACCATTGACGTTTTCTTTGCACAATTCTCATCGATGTGTTGCCGAGACGGGGGGGGGGGGGGGCTGGGAGGGGGGGCTGGGGGGGGAGCTGGGGGGGGGAGCTGGGGGGGGAGATCCATCCCCGTCGCCCGTCCACTCGCCACAAAGCTCGGGCGACGTTTCGATCCCCCGCGGTGCCCGCGGACTCTCCCGAAACGTCGGGGACATCTCCAAGGTGTCCCTGCGACAGGGCGGGCAGGGGACGCCCTCCCGGCCCCCTCCCCGAGATGGCAATGCCGCCCCCCCACCCCCGTCGTGGAGTCGATTAGCGCGCATCGCTGATGGTCAGCGGTCGTGAAGAACGCGGAGAGAGACACCGGAAGCCACACGCCCCCCCCCCTCCTCACACACAAGACTCAGGGTGCCCCACCACGGCCGCTACAGCCGGGGTCGTGCGATGCTAAAAACTTTCTGATCGGCGCAGCGGTCCCAGAGCAGTCGGGCATCGGCAGCCCGTGTCGGCGCTTCTGCCGCTGACACGCGGCGGCGGTGGTGGTGGTGAGAGCGGCGTGCGCGCTCCGTCGGCTGACCACGGTGCTAGCGGCACGCAGCAAACAAGCGGAAACAAAGCAATATCACTCGGCCCAAAGGCTTCTGCACAATGGTTAAAGCGCGACGGGGATTTCACGTCTCCGTGTGGTTTTTTTTGGCGAGAGATAAAAACACCACAGTTGAGCCCTCTCCGACGTGTCACCTGGCTTACACCTCTCTCCACGTGTTGCTTTAGCGAACCCACGTCCGACGTTTCGCTCCGAGTGCCAGGAGCTTCTTCCGGATCTGAACCTTGAACAGGAGCAATAGCAGCAGCAGCAGTAGCAAGCCTGCACACATTGCTGTGATGGGTAGGTTCGGAGGTGGTTGTAGGGAAAACCAGGATTGTTTACACGTAAAATTACCCTGGAGTATTTTTGTAGCATGTTCATTTTGTAGCATGTTCATTGACACCGCAAAATACTGTCTCCCGAAACACGTTGACACGCCGATCATTCGGCTGCGTCTCTCGCTCCCGCTCGCTCTCCCGCACCACGAAGCCAACAGCAGAGATGACCCCCCCCGTCTCCCCCCAGGTGCTACTCACAGACACAAGTGGACAGGTAGGAGGTGGGGTCGGAGGGGGCTGGGTGCAGGTGGGGATTGGGGTGGGTAGAGTTGAGTTGGGGGCGGGTTAGTTGGACTCCGGATAGCAAGACGCTCCCCTACACTTGTGCCCGGTCCCAGTTCGATGGATCTGGTCTCACACAGGCACGGGGGTGGGATCTTATAAAGCGGGGGGCATGATAGTACACTAGTGGCTGGTTGTCTTGTATGTTGCTAGGGCGACCAAGTCAACATGCAATGTTGCTGGCCATTTCGTCGTTACCTTTGGTTCCAAAGTTGCCGCAACAGTTGTTGGCCCAACGGTTCCATGCTTGGTTGGCGAGGGCTCGTGGTTCGATAGGTGATTTCTCTTTGGGGGGGATGGAATTTCTCTGGTGCTCTGACGTCTCCCGCCCGCCCCCCCTCCCCTCAGCGTGGAACTCGGCACGTGGTTCGAGTAAGTCACGTGCAGCAAGCCACGTGGTTCGCGCGTGGCTCAAGCAAGCCACGTGGTTCACGCTTGTTGGTGCAAGTGAACCGCGTTTTAACCTTTCCCGCGAGAGAGTGAGCACGTGGTTTGTCGTGACACCTCTACCGTGGTGATGGTGGTGGTGTCGTGCGTGTGCTCTGTCGTGTTGGTTCAAGTTGTTGCGGCTTGCGCGCCGCGTGTAAAGGGTTGCTTCGAGAAGGCGCGGCCACCCGTGTCACACATGGGCGGGTTTGTCCCTTTCCGACAGCGGCAATGTCCGCCTCTTCGTTTTATAATCACTTACGCCAGGTGGGAAGAGTCAAATCCGCCAACATGCAGAGGAGTGGCCCTTGGATGAGACCGTGTGCTTCTGTGGGTAAAAAAAAAAATCAAAACCTGGTTGATAGGATGTGTAAAAGTGTTGCTTTTACGCAGGGCTTAATTTCACCCGGAGTTGCCCCGGGGCTGATTCCCCCCCCCCCCCCCCCCCGGGAAAATGTCCCATGAGAAATTAACCCCTCGCCTTTACCGATATTCCAAGCGTTGCACCCAGCCATAATGGAGGTGTGTTTATCGTCTATTAGTATCATATCCTTTTCTTTAGTTTTGTTTATGGTGAAAATAATGTTTGTGAATTGTATTGAGGGTTGCGGGAAGTGAGTCAAGACCGACACGCACACCACGTGTGCCACCATGACTAATACTGTACACGCTTCTAGCCTGCCGCGTGACAAGCGCGCATGTACGCACATCCACACGCAGCACACGCGCACAGCCCTGCGTAAATCATCCACTGCTGGATGAGTATGCCTGCCCCACTCCCTCGGGGCACCGTTCGTCACACTTGGCATGAGCCACGCGTTTCGGGGGGGGGGGGGAGTGTGGGATATTTTGTGACCATACTTCACCACGCTAATCAGTGCGGGGGGCAGGTGAAGGTGGTCACACTTGTTAGTGGTCGCTGATCCAATGCGCCGTCCAGGCTCAAGCCTGCGATCGCTGTCGAGATCGATATGAAAATCGTGCGCATTACAAGATTCGTGCTCACACACTCCGCGGTGCTTGGTTGCTTCGCAGTCGTGTAGCTAAATGTGATTTACCTACAGAGAGGTTATCATTGTAGGCTAATCGGCCTACCTGCCTTTGGAAATACTGTATCTCTTTTCAGCGGCATCTATTCAAGCAGACAAAACCAAGACTGGGGTGTGTCCTCCCTGAAGCCCATCGGCAGGGTTGTAGCTGGTAAAACGCAGTTGGTCTAAATTTATCATCAGCTGACAAAACGTCGTTTTTGATCGCGGTTAAACGGGGGCGCTGTTGTTATAGGCCGTGGAGCGGTGGTGCAGTGGTGAGCACGCTGCGCTATGATCCCGGCGATCAGTCTGACAACTCGAACCGCCACGGAACTCGAGGGGGTGGTGTCGTATTGGTCAGGACCACGACCGGCCGCTTTGTCGCTCGTGTTGCGGATGTTTACACACCGCACCAGGTGCTCATTTACGGCTGAGTCGACCTAGGGGAGGGCCCAGGACCAGTTTAGAGATCTGTCACTATTGATGCCAAGCGTGGCCGGGAATCGAACTCGGGGTGTAAGTCCGAGCTGATTTTGTTTAACCAGGCGAGAGACCACGACAGAGAAGTCTCATTTGCAAGCGTGACCCCGAGTCGTAGCAGAGTGCGTAGTGCAGTGCGCCAACGACTGCGCCACCGTTCCCCAGTCACATAGACACGCAGGGTCGCCCATGGGGGGGGGGGGGTTGCGGTGCTTGGGGCAACCCCCTACCCTGTGGCTTCCCCCGACGATTACAAACTAAACCGAAAGTATTACATCTGACACCGTGACGTCAAAGCGCGGGGGCTCCCCCAAAGCGCGGGGCCCGGGGCAGTCGCCCCAGCTTCGCCGTACACCGGTGACGGCTCCTCCGCCCGCACCACACACCGCGTACATACATGCACACTCAGTGCGCCCGCCTGTGCAGGGACACTTTGGCAGCAGCCAGCAGCACACGAGTCCACGGTGGTGCTATTCTATCACACGACACTTTTTTGCAGTAAATGTTGTATGAACCTTCATTTATATTTAAAAAAAAACAGTTTTGGAGAAAATGGTGCTTTCTTACACGGGCACTAAAGAGGCGACTTGAAAAAAAGAATAACTCAATTTAAACACTGTTCCTTAGCAACTACAGTTGTTAACAGGCCGCTATAGGGTGTTGTTGTATTAGGGTTGCCGCGATACGATATGATTGTACGGTACACGATAATCGCACGTGGTTTCGTGAACACATTATTGGTCGTTCCGAAGCCCGCATGAAGCAAAACGCCGACGATTTTGCCACCGCTGCAGCCGCGCTCGCTCGCTCGCTCCATCGTCTCGTTCCGCGTGCGACTTACGTAGCCAGACGCGTCACAGATTGTAGACAATGGAGGGTCTCGGTGATTGGTGGGTGGCGGGGCGAGAGGGGGCGGGGTGAGGGGGTTATGGTGCACGGCGGGGTTGTGTGGCGTGTAGCGGAGCGGCGCTGGAGAACTCTTTGACAGCAGCAATTTCTCTTCCAACTGGAAACCACAACTCGCCAATTCGTCGTCGCGTTCCATGACAACGTAACGAGGAATCGATGCTCGGCGCGTATCGTCTTATCGTGGCAACCCTGGTTATTGGTGGGATCGGGGGAGGGGTTACTGGGTTGGAGTTCTAAAGCTTCGATGTTCTTGCGGTCTGAATTCGTGTGACGGACCCATGCACACATTTAGCTTGCGTCGGAGTTTTCATTTGGTTAAAAACGTACCAAGAATGCCTCTCCCCCCCACTCATCCCCTACCCCCCCCACCACCTCTTCCCCCCCTCCCCCCATCTCGGAACTTGTGTTATTTTCTCTGTACACGTGAGCGTTTGACGATGATGATGATGTGTAAAATCACGACATTTGTTTCTTTTTTGTAGCATTTAATTACAAAACAATCTTTGAGATTTGTTTTTTGTGTACTCCCAATTTGTAGCGTTTTTAGAGCAAAGTCAATAAACGTGAGTGAACCTCTCCCGTCGACTCGAGCTCACTTGCCAGAGCCGTGGGTATTCATCAGCTACAGCAGAAGGTGGTAGTGGTGGTGTTGGTAGTGGTAGTGTTGGTGGGGGTAGTGGTGGTGTTGGTGGTAGTCGTGTTGGTGGTGGTCGTGTTGGTGGTGGTAGTGTTGGTGGTGGTGATGGAGGTAGTGGTGGTGTTGGTGGTGGTAGTGTTGGTGGTCGTGTTGGTGGGGGTAGTGGTGGTGTTGGTGGTGGTCGTGTTGGTAGTGGTGGTGTTGGTGGTAGTGATGGTGGTGGTGTTGGTGGGGGTAGTGGTGGTGTTGGTGGTGGTCGTGTTGGTAGTGTGCGTTCACCGTTTGCAAAGCGCCCGTTAAGAATGTTCGCGTCGTGTGCAGCTGGTGGCGAAGCAGAATACAATACCCGCTATATCCACTGCTGGATGAAGCTCCCACAGCCCCCCTCCCTGCCTCGTCTCGGCACGAGCGGCCGCGTGCGTCACCACCCGGGACTCGGGGAACGAGGTGGAGGAGAGGGGGTGGGGGGGGATGAGGGCAGGGGAGGCGTGGACTCACGGCAAGGCTCTGGGGGGTAAAGAGGACGAGGTGGAGACGGAGGAATGCCGCTGTGGAGAGGCGCTCTGCTGTACTCGTGAGCTGCGTGGGGCCCAAGACGCACCCCCCAGCCACGTGGTGACGTCCATTAGATAACACAGGTAGGAACAAGTTCCACACTGCCCACCAGGGATTATTTGTCTGTCTGTCGTGCATGGCCCCGCCCCACCAGAGCCCTCCCATTGGCTCGGGGGCGCCGACCAATGGGAGCGGTGGGTTGGGATTGGTGGGGGGGGTTAGTGGTGGGGCACCGCCGCCACTCGGGCCAATGAGGAGACGGGCGATGTTTCATTCACAAAAATGGAACTGGGGGAGGGTGGCTCCATTCATAAAATGGAACCCTTGAAAAGAAAAAAGCGGATCTTTTTGCCTCGTGTTTCTTTCAACATTCCCAGCCTTAAGGTGATTCAGTTGGGGGTGGGAGGGGTGGGGCTGGGTGGAGAGGGGAGGGTGGGGCGGGGCTGGGTGGGACGGGTGGGGTGGGGCTGGTCACCCCGTGGTGCCCTTATAAAACTCAACGTTTAACCTACACACGACACGATACACTACACTTATACAGGTAGGAACAGCTTCCACACTGCCCACCAGGGATTATTTGTCTGTCTGTCGTGCACGAATGCGCTGTCCAACCAAGTTCCTACCTGCCCACTCCGAAGGAACGTGTTTTGGAGATCATGGATGGGGGCGATTGGTCGGGACGGCACGTGCGTGGTTGCGCGAGTAACTTTGGTACCGTTCTTGAGACCAGGCCGATGATGGTGCTGATGGGGAATAGAACAGCGCTAGGCATCCCAACATATCCCAGGCCTCGCGACACCCCGACCACGCTCCGTCTTTCCGCGTTCAGCAATCTACTGCCCCTTGCAAATTAGATCGTTGCACGCCGCAAGCGCCCGATGATTGCCACACACTTCCCACGTGACGCGCTGAGCAATTCAATACAAGCCCCGCGTGACCGAGCACTCGTACAGGATGCACGCGACATTCTCAAGTTCATTGGGGTTTTGTTTAATAAAATTACTTTTAAAAGCAGTAGCTATGATCAAAGTTAAAAACCAAACTGAAACGTGCAGATAAAATGGGCCGCATGACAAACCCCACCTGGGTGGCAAAGGGGAAGAATTCATGGGGGGAGGGGGGGTGGAGCAGGCTGCGGCGTGGAGAGCGTGCAGGAGAAATGTTGAATATCCGCAGGGAACAGCAGCGCCAAGATGCAACACGAAACATGATGTGGATGCCGAACGCCGCGTTGACGCGTGATCTGTGCTTTGCGGCATTTGTAGCCGGGACATTCGTAGAATCGAGTTTGAGAACCAGCTCCCACAGAGCGAGGCGGGCCGGCATTTGAACAGAACCATTGCAAACAACTCCCGTTTAATCCACGCGTACATGCACGCCAAAACGTGCTCGCTTCGTTGCGACAATTTCCGAACCCCCTTCAGACAGCAGTTACCATCGCATCTCCGCCACGGGCGCCCACGTGACAAGCTTAATAGCTGTGCGAGTTCATCCACGTGACCCGCCTGCTCTCAGCGAAGGCCTGCTCTCAGCGAAGGCCTTCTCTCAGCGAAGGCCTGCTCCTTTCTCGAAAATGAGACGTCGTGGGTTTTCGAGTCTTTTAAATTGTCCAGGAAACACCCCCCCCTCCCTCCCCGTCATCGTTTGTAGTCTCAGCATCCCTTGTTGGAGAGACACGCGAGGTTCAAAGTGAATCGCTGGCAGAAAGGTACTGACCCCCCCATGTGCGCTACTTTGCGGCCCAACAACAGGAACGGTTCTGATCGCCCACAGAACAGAACGGCCGAGTGGCAGCAGAAGGAAGTCCGGCCCAGGACGTCTCCATGAGCTCCCCCCTGCTCCTCGTTGTAACCACGCCGCTCACGTCCGTCCAATAAATAACAACCGAGTTCGTGCCTCCTACGGAAAAGTTAAAAACGACAAACGTTTCGTGTTGTGTTGCCGCTACCACCACCACCACCACCACCACTACGTGTTGTTGTTGTTGCTGTTCGGCACGGACGTCCGGAACCATGCGCCGGGAGCTTCTTCGGCTCCTGAAGAAGACTCTCGGCACGTGGAGCAAACCGTCGGACAACAACGCGTAGCGATCGGCGCGACCCGAAACCACAGCGAGGAGAGAGGGGCACAGTTCAACAGGGGCTAACACCTCCGCGGCAGTCCTGCACCCGCGAGGTTCCAGCGTACAGCGCCGCCACATCGGCCCGAGCTGGCGTGGCCCATATTGTTGCCCGCCAGGGCAGACGTGCATAGACAAGACTCTTGCAAACATTTATCGCTTCGTCGATACGAAGCTCCGCGTCCTGCTTGCCGACCCACATACCGTGAGCTTTCTCCTACCACTCCTCTGCCGTTCGATTACCCACGGCGCAGACCGTCCGCGCGGAGGACTAATAACCGTGCTCGCAGGGGGAGGGAAAGTCAAACATCTGGCACGCCGCTCACCGGGTGAATTGGTTCGCGAGAGCCACCCCCCCCCGCCACCACCTCCTCCTCCTCGTCGGCGCCGTCGCCGTTGGAAGACGGGAAGTCTTTCCGGAAGCGCTCTGCGCGCGACATGAGCGGCTTGCGCCTCGCAATAGTTTTAAAGGGCACCCCCAGCGGCAGCCGTCGCTGTGCGGCACGAGGAGAATTAAGTCTGTTAAGTCTGCCAGGAGGATGGGGGGGGGGGGGGTGTGGAGCACTTTGTTATACTCGTGAGCCTGCTGCTCCTCACTCGTCGGCAGGTGAAACCACTCACTCTCAGGAACAACGGAGACACGCGGAGCGTTCCACGTCGCCACCCCCGCTCCACGCGGCTGAACGACAGCTGGAGCCGAGGAGGAGCCGAATCCACACGAGCATTTCCGGATTTATCCGGGTTTTTGTTTTAACTTGGGCCCACCGCTGCCTCCCGTTGCCCAGGATAATCGCGAATTGCCTCCGAGTCTCTCCCCGCCTTTCCCGTGGGTGTTTGCGGGTCGTGTCGCTCGCGACGCGTCGTCGTTGTCTTTGCGAGGCGCCGGCGTCCGCCGTTTCGTTCCGTGTGCCCGCCGGGAGCTCTTTCGGCGACCGAATTGAGTTCCCGTTCAGTGCTCGGTTCCTGAAGAAGCTCCCGGCGGCACGGGGAGCGAACCGTCGGACGTCGGCGCCGACCCGCAAGCTCGCGCGGGGAGGCCCACGCAGCGGCGCCGACTCGCAAGCACCTCGGCTGTGGAGCAGTCACCCGTCCCGCTCGCGTCACCCACCGCTCGCCTTTGTGCGTGCCGGGCAGAGCGGTGGACGGAGACCCCGAACGACGATTGGCGACAAGGCCGACGTGGAGAATGTGAAACCGTGCCCCAAATTAAAAAAAGATAAAAAGCGCAGCGCCGCAATTGCAGGTCTCCAGTGAAGGGTGCTGACACCCCCCCCTCCCCTCCACCTCCTAGACGGTATCTCTTGGTCTTCTCTTCCACACTGGACAGACACAAGAGGTGGCAGTACCCACAATTTACCCCACCACGCGTGAACCTGCTCAACGACTTCACCGTGCCGGACCCAATCCCTACCGCCGGGTGGACCGGGGTGGAACCGGACCGTGATGTCGTGGCCATTCCGCCAAGGCAGCATCCCAAACCCACGTTAAAAAAAAAAAAATGCCAAAACAAAACCACCCACGAGTCTCAAGCGTAAACCCTCCACTCCCCACGTGTCACCGAGTGGCCCCGGTCTCGCGTGCGATCAAGTGAACCTTTCCCCGTACAAACATCCGGGCCCCACCGCGTGTTCACCGGGTAACGCGTATATACAGTACAGCGAGCGCGTCTCCGAGAGCAGCGTCACCGTGACGACGCGGGCACCGTGTCACCGTGACGACGCGGGCACCGTGACGACGCGGGCACCGTGACGACGCGGGCACCGTGACGACGCGGGCACCGTGACGACGCGGGCACCGCGTCACCGTGACGACGCGGGCACCGCGTCACCGTGACGATGCGGGCACCGTGTCACGAGCGACGTGCGATCCGGAAACGCGCGTCGACGCTCGCAATCGGTTTGCCACACACGCACACACACACGCACACACACACACACACACGCACACACACACACACACACGCACTGCGGCCACCAGAGGCCGCTACATTCGTCACAAACAAATAAAACCACAGAGACGAGGCATTCGATTTGGGGAAAAAAGTCTAAAATCCAATCCGGGGACAATGGGACCGCACAGTCGCGCGTGGAGGCGCCATCGCCCGCACGCCTGCGGGGGGTTGAGGGCGGAAGTGTCCTTGACGCCCCCCCCCCCCCCCCCCCATGTGCGCTACTTTCCGGCCCAACACGCGGAACAGTTTTGATCGCCCACCAGAAGAGTCCGCAATGCGGCGCGTCCGTTCCGTCGGCGACGGCGCTCTCGCGATGACGCGGTGGTGGCGGCCGTGTGATGTTGGAGCGCCCGCATGGGCGGGGGTCAAGAGTGGACGAACAGAGGTGACCCCAGAGACGAGGATGAGGAGGTGGACGATGAGGAGGAGATGCCTTCGTAGTAGGGGTCGGTCAGGCTCCTGCCCGTCACCCTGAGGAGGTGACGGCCAAACTAACGGGGGAGAGGAGAACGAAACGCAAGTCAGCGTGGAAGCTCTCGACAATAACGTCATCATCATCAGCAGCACCATCGTCATCCTCGTACCAACATTATCAGCGTTATTATGTATGTTTAACTTCTCTCGCATCGTACGTAGCCAACCGTGCTAATCGGAGGTGCGATGGTCATGCCAAGATTATGACGATCATACCAAGATTATCACGATTGCAATAGCAACATCATTGTCGTGATACCATCTTATTCATAACGATCATCATCAGCATCGTCGTCATGACTGTAATGGTATCATCAGAGCAATGGACGATGCATTCACCGCTCGCGAGGTCGGTCTGTACGTGGCGAGCGCGCTGCGTCACCCACGCGAGTCTCCGCTCGTTCACCTCTCGCGACATCGGCGGGCTCTGCTTTCCGCAGTGGAAAAAGCAGTCCCAGCGCTGCAGCCCCCGCATACCTTGGGCACGTCGGGGCTGAACGCGTGTGGCGAGCTGGGGGAGAGGCCGGGTTCGGGGCTGCGCGGCGCGTGGCAGCGAGCGAACTTCCTGCGCAGGGCCTGCGCGATGAGGGCGGCCGGGTCGGACGGCGGGGTGATGCAGGCGCGCAACGGCCAGTGGACGGGACGCCCGCCCGGGGACCTGACCACCACCACCACCACCACAAACAAACAGCAGCAATTACAAGTTATAATCATCGGCAGCAGCGTCGTCAGCAAGAGGTAGAATCAACGTCATCATTGTCATCATCATCACCACCTGACCACGACCACAAGTAAACAGCAGCAATCACAAGTTATAATCATCGGCGGCAGCGTCGTCAGCAAGAGGTAGAATTAACGTCATCATTGTCATCATTATCATCACCTGACCACGACCACAAGTAAACAGCAGCAATCACAAGTTATAATCATCGGCAGCAGCGTTGTCAGCAAGAGGTAGAATCAACGTCATCATTGTCATCATTATCATCATCATCAGCTGTGATAGCAACGGGAGTGTGGCACTGATGTCACAATCATCACCAACATCACCAACATCACCAACATCACCAACAGCAGCGCCAAGCCGGGGCGCTGGTGGCTACGCTGCTGCACGTGGCTGCCTGTAGGAATCCGGCGATGTGCGGAGGCGTCAGCGAGGGTTGGTGCGTCACGGCACAGATGTTGCTGTGAAACTCCCTTCCCATGTAATGGGGGCGTCAAGGAGGCAAGTGTGGACTAATCGCCATCCGTCTCCATCTGTACAGTGTTGCCCCCTCGTGCAAGGCGTGGGTTTTCTATAACGTATTATAATAATAATAAACACAAATCATTAATTGGCTGAAACCATCTTACAGCGGCAGAACGCTCCTGAACAAGAGTCCCACGGACTCAGCGTGGCCGTCCCGGATGAACCGAAACGAAGAAGAAGACGTCTCTCACCTCTCCACCACGCGCAGCTTCACCGCTCCCAGGTTCCTCAGCACGTCCATCATGTCGGGCACGGCCTTCTTGCTCGCCGCGGCTCCTCCCTGGCTCTCGCTGCCGGTGGCGTCGGCCCCTCCCCCTCCCGCTCCGCGCAGACGCTGCTCGCGGCGCCGGCGGATCAGCTGCAGGGCGCCGGCCCCACCCTCGAGGACGGAGCATGCCGACGGGGGTGGGGGCAGAGGCGGGGGTGGAGGAGGAGCGGTGGGGCCCGGTGCAACCTCTGTTGGGGTGGAGGAGCAGGGAGGGGGTGGCGGGGTTGGAGTGCGCACAGATGACATCGTTCATTGTCATCGACGTCGTTGTTGTTATCATCGTCTCAGACGTCATCGTTATTGTCATCATTGTTTTTAGCATCAACATCGGCGTAATCATCCTCATTGTTATCGTCATAACAGCGAGGAGGGTGAGGCGGGCGAGGAGGGTGGGGAGGGCGGGGAGGGTGGGGAGGGTGGGGAGGGCGGGGAGGGTGGGGAGGGTGAGGCGGTGGTTACGTGTGGCATCTGTCCCCCCAGCTCCGGGCTGGGCCGTGACGATGGCGGCGATTTGTGCTCGCAAACGCGCCAACTCGGCTTCCAGCGTCGCGATCTTCACAAGGGCATCTGCTCCTCCTCCTGCTCCTCCTCCTGCTGCTCCTCCATCACCGTCGCCGGTCCCGTCCCTCCGCTCCCGGAGACTCGTGCTTCCCGGCAGCTCCCGCATGCCGCGCGTGTCGGAGCGCGGCGTGGAAGTGCCGGCGTTGAGGCGGAGTTCCGCCCGGCTGACGATGAAACGGGGGCGGTTAGTGGCAGCGGGGGTGGGAGCGACGGAAGCAGCTTGGCGTGTGGGAGCCGGGCGGAGCGTGACATCGCGGGACGGCGAGAGACGGCGACAGATGGACGAGGCCTTCATTGAGCACACGGGCCCAAAGCCTCATTGGGCCAAGCAGCGGGTTAATAAACAGCACTCCTACTGGTGCGATGTACGAGTTCACACGTGTCTTGAGAGTGAGAAAGGTTGTTATATAAGGGGCGTGGGGGGGGGAAAGGACGATGGGAGGGAATTCCAAACTGGAGCGGTGCGAGGGAAGAAGAAAGAAGTGAGGCGACCTGCCGTGTGGCAAATCAGCAGATGGGTGAGCGGCTGAGCGGGGTGGGTGAGTGTCTGAGCGAGTGGCTGAGCGGGGTGGGCGAGTGGTTGAGCGGGGTGGGTGAGCGAGTGGCTGAGTGGGTGGGTGAGAGAGTGGCTGAGCGGGTGGGCGAGTCGCTGAGCGGGTGGGCGAGTGGCTGAGCGGGCTGGTGAGTGAGTGGGTGAGAGAGTGGCTGAGCGGGTGGGCGAGTGGCTGAGTGGGTGGGTGAGTGGTTGAGTGGGTGGGTGAGTGGGTGAGTGGCTGAGCTGAGTGGGTGAGTGGCTAAGCGAGGTGGTGAGTGCGTGCAATGTTGTGACCTGCGGTGCCATGGTTGCACACAAGTGTGGATGAAACTAAACGATCCTCCCAACACAGGTGGAGGAATCAACCGAATGAAGCTCCTGGAAACATTAATCATGGTAGTTGCGCTACAAGAGTGACAAGGAGGCAACCGACTTGTGCGAATCAGCGAGTGCTGGATCATCAATAAATCGGACCTGCCGATGATTGATGACGATGATGAATTAGCTTGGGCAGCGCCTCTTGGCACAGTCTCGCCTTGTGGCTGTGGGCACAGGGGCCTGGCACCCAGAGGCTGGCGCCGACTCGGTTCAAGGTGTAACAGTGTCATAACACGACACTTCCGCTTGCAGCAGCAAGTGCGTTTCCTCCGCCACACAGCGGGGAATCAAGCCACGGCTGACATCAGTGGCGAATAATATACAAACCACAGCTCCACACATAGAGACAAAAAAAACAAAGTGTATCGGGATAACGTGCAGCGTGAGCACCTGCAGCAGCGGTTGGCCACCCCCTCCACGATGGGGAAGTATATCACTTCGGCGAAGCTGGGCACACTCGGGCTGGCTTCACAGGACGGAGCGCCGGGATGTTCTCCTGCCAGCAACTACAGGGCAGACGCAGGGCGGTGCCAGGGTGGGGAGCGGAGGTGCGGTTGTCAACGCACTGCAATACGGAGCTTTGAGTTCTCCCCCCGGGTTCAATTCCCGACCGCGGCTACCATCAGCGGTGATGATCTAAATCGGTCTCGGACCTCCCTTCTCTAGGTTTACTCTGCGAAGTTCCCGCCTCCATAGTTGCTCGCCAACAGCACTTGCCCCAACAGTCTGCGGAGGCTAACTTGGGGGATCTTTGTGGGCGAGCGTGTTGTGTTTAAGAGATTGTGTGTGTGTGTGTGCATATGCGTCTATCCAGCGGTAGTGTAGCGGTTAGCGTGCTGTGCTACAAAAGTGGTGACCCGAGTTCGATTCTCGCTCACAGCCAAACCTGTGATATGACCCGAGACCTCCCCTAAGTCGACTCAGCCTCAAACGAGTACCTGGTGTGGTGTGTGAACATCACCACTGCGGAGACAAAAGTGGCCGGGCGTGGTGTTGACCACCCACCCCCTCGTGGTGCTCGCAAACAGCACTTGCTCCTACCGTCTGTTAAGGCGACATGGGGGATATTTGCCTTTTTTTATCGTTTTGTGTCTATCCAAAATCGCTGTGATCAATGTGGCCGGTTTTCCATGGGGCAGGCTCGTAATGGCCACACGACGTTCGCAACCGTTTTGTTCACACTGCAGTAACTTCACGAGAGGCGGCGTGCCGCTCACCCTCCCGTTACACACGGAATGCAGAAACGCTTTCAACGTCAGTTTGGGGCAGAGGATGTGGACTACCGGAAGCGAGTTCGGCGCTTGTTGCAGAAGTTTAACGGTTCGAATCCAGCGGCCGCCCTGGTTATTACCGCGGTGTGGTATTAACCGAAAAAAATGCCACGTGCAGTCTGATTCGCAGCGGAGCTAAAGATCGCGAGAGTAGGTCATTGTGTAGTGGTCCAAATTGTAATATTACCTGCAATCATAACCCCCCCCCCCCTCCTGTGACAACATGGCAGTACTTCTTCTGACAAAGTCACAACTCTCCTGGGTAAACTAGCAGAATAATTAAATAATACAAACAGCAACAACAAGTTGGAAACTGCTTCAACCCCGCCGGGCAAAAGAACTCGCCTGCAGGTGTGGGGAGAGCCAGCGTGGGATGGGCAAGTGCGATGCGATCCAGCGCACCACGCTCCGTCTCCTCCCATACGGCCTCCCCTGCAAAACGCTGAACACCTGCCACAGTGACGCACACACACACACTTAGACAAAGATCCCCCGTATAGCCTCAACAGACTGTTGGATCAAGTGCTGTTAGTGAGCACCTATGAAGGCCGGGTGGCCAGCAGCATGCCCTGGCCACCTTTGTCTCCCTCGTGGCAATGCTTTCACACGCCGCACCAGGTACTCATTTGAGGCCGAGTCGAGCTAGGGGAGGCCCAGAACCGGTTCAGATAATCATCACCGGTGTTGGCCATGAGCGGACGTTGAACCCGGGTCGTCAGGTTCGTAGCGCAGTATGCTAACTGCCGCACTACCGCTCCCCACACACACACGCGATTAAGTCTTCTGTAGCACCGCAGTTCAAACGTAGACATCTTCCTCCTGTCTGCTGCATTGATTGCCCACGTTTCACGCGCGCTCATCGCAGTCGGGTGCCAAGTAATGTTCTACCGAGCCTGGTTTTTGCGGCTCTACGTGCGCCTCTACATGCAATGTGTCAGGTCTCACAAGCCATGCAGGTTGAGCCTGGAAAGTGTTTGGATGAGTGACTACCAACTACTATGCACAAAAAGGTTGTTCCTGAAATACCAGGTTGATTCAGGGGTGGCATTAACCCCATTATATACACACAGGCATTCCTCGTTTTACGTGATTTTGTGGTATGCCATTTTGTAATAACGCTGCGCCCTTTGTATTTAGGCTTTTTACTGACGTACACGAGACAATTTTTTAAATAACGTCACCCGCAACGCGACATACGCCACCTCCTAGCCTGGCACCGCGACCCAATGGCATTGCCAGCAGCTAGTGTGGTACAGTAACTTAGTGCGCTATACCGTGCAGCGTCTCGCCGCGTGCACTACGGCGCTCTTCCCTTTGTCTCGTGTCTCTCGTTGTGATCGTACGCTGTCAGGTTTTACGCGTCTCCATCCACTGTATTTCTTTATTTGAATTTTATAGGAAGTATATTCGAGTTTATTTTAAAGTATTATATTGTGTGTACATGTATTGTATTGATAGAGGCGAGGATAATATAGGCGATTATGTCTGCGAGTGTTGAGTAAAATCCCCTAACCCCCTCCTTTACCATTATTTCTTGTGCTTGACATCGCGTGCGTCAAGCAGTGCCTGTATATGTTTTAAAACTTGCTATGTGCAAGATGCAGAATATCCACGCCTGTCATTTCGAGAACACCTTCTGGTGTCCGACGCTTGCCGAGTGAGCGACGTGCGTTGTGGCCTTGCTCTGTGCAGTTCTCACAAAGGAAAGGAACGGAGCATCCTGGATCTTGGAGCCGATTCTTCGGATGAGACTCCGCGAGCTTCCCCCGCTGGTGACGACACCCACGCTGCACTGCTGGCAACGAGAGGGGAAGAGTCGCGTTCCCGTAAAAAAATCAGCTTTCGTACCGCCGCTATCGGGAGCGTCGATTCAAGGTATATGCGAAGCACAAGACTTATAAAGCTAGAGGGTGTCCATCCTTTACTCAAACCCAAGCGAGAGCCCATTAATAATAATCATTTACACTTGTAAAGGGGGATTTTATCAGTAGATCCAAATGCATCCCTGTGTATGGAATGCTGGAAACAAACAGAACCTGCAGGGTAGACGGCCACAACTAGGGGGTGAAGGCCAATTTAAAGCGGCGAGTTTTCTGGATGGACTCAAAGAGCTCTCACGACTTTGGGAGCTGCGCTACCAAAAGCACAAAACGCGTTCTTCCACAGTCTGGCAGCTGCGCTGGCACAAGCTCGACCACCACAGGAACAAGGCCCTGACCTTCGGAGTCCTTAGATGAAGGCAATCCGAAGATGTCAGCGACCTCGTATGGAGAGTCACACACGAACCAGTTCCTGCGAACACTGCGGGGCTAACCCACTCGGAGCCTTGCAGGTCAGCAGCAAGCAGCAGCAGGACCTTATAGTGCACTCAATACTTTACTGGTAGCCAGTGAAGAGACTAGCGAGCGAGCGGGTGTGTGATGATGATGTTGTGTGCTCCCAACACGGTGTGTGTGCATGAAGTACACCTCGCTCGGAATCCATTGCCTCAAACGTCGCCTATTAAATATTTCCTTTTAAAGACCCGCGCCTGTGATTAGCGCGGTTGGCTACGTACGGTGCGAAAGAAGTTCAACACGCATACACACAGCGGTGTTACTGTTGATGAACGCGTTTGGTTATTTGACGTAATAAATTATGAAACACTGGACTGATACGTTAGTGATCTTCATCAATGGATCGCAGAACGCTGTACACAATATGCATAAGAAATAAGCACGAAAACCTATCAAGAAAGGGCCTGAAAATAACACTAAGCGCCTTCTCCAGTAGGAATGTTTGAAATCGCAATTGAAGCGGAATCTCTCATAGCTTGTGAGGCAGCGTTCCAAAGTCCGCAGTATGTGGGTTGTAAAGTGTTCTTGTTAGTTTTGATGCCTTGCCAAAGCTTGGAAATTGGTGCACTTATGCAACTTTAACTTGTAAACTTTAAATATTTTCCGGATTTATTGTTGGTGATTTGCTTACCTTTCCAATACTTTGCGCCGTTTGTTGTTGCAACTTTCTCACTCGCCCCTACTGGACCACATCTGTGCAACAAAGCGCTTCACGGTTCATCGGATTATCCCCGGGATACAAACTAAAAGGGTGAAACCGCTCAATCTCGGCGGTGAAGATCGTTCTCACCTCGTCAGCGTCTTCACCGAAGTAGTCGAGCAGAATCTCGATGGCACGCAGCACCATGTCGTCTCATCGCTCTCCGCCTTCTCCTGTCCCCCTCGACAACACCGACTCAAGAGACAAAGATCCCCACCACGTGAAGAAGCCTTCAACCACAGCTGGCTGGGGGGGGGGGGGCAGGTGCCGTGAGCGAGTTAGCACAACATATGGAAGGCCGGAACTGCGCACGAGGGGGTTGGGGGGTTGGCAGCAACCACGCCCGGCCGCCTTTGTCTCCCCAGTGTCGATGCTTTACTACACACAGCACAAGGTACTCATTTGAGGCCGAGTCGACCTAGGGGAGGCCCAGAACCGATTTGAGAATCGCTATCACGGTGGTGTCGTCGGTGGCCGTGAGCGGGAAACCGAGGCCGGGTTCGCAGGGTGAGGGGTGAAGGTGCAGCCCCTGCAACTGCTTTGCTCACTCCACTGCTGGATTCTATATTTTTGGGCCTATTCTCCCACGTTGGGCAGACTTCTCGGAAGAGACGTCTGTGAACATAGGGAGCTTTATAGCTCATCGCATTCCTGCGAGCGTAAATAAACATGAATACTCTGAGATGTAGAGCGAGAGAGAGAGAGAGAGTGAGTGTCACCCCAACCCGCAGTGAACCGGCGTGGTGAAGTATGGTCACACAGCCTCCACGCGTAGGGCCGACCCCGGCCTTCATCGAGCAGTGGATAGAGCTTGGCTCAGGGATGGCATTGACATCATTATGACGCGTGGGTACATTCGAGACTCAACCCCGATGTAAATGTGATGTAAACGCTTACCTGTGATTAATAACGACGATGGTTATTTACAATAATCGATCCCCATCACCTGCCCCTGCACTCGAAGTCAATGGCTTCGAACACCCCGCCACCGCCGTGTAACGCCGCCTGCCATTGGCCAACTGCTCTTTTCAAATCCTCCAATGGGGGCGCGGTGTCAATTGCTGGCGGGGAACCAATCCAAAGCGCTGTTGTAAAATTTATAATAACTTTCAGCGAATTTTTATCAAGAAACTTCAAATGGTTCCCCATTTCAATAAAACCACATAATATTATACTGTGACTTCTAGAACAGTTTAATATTTAGAAAAAAACAATATAGGAGCGCAAGTTAACGGCGGCCATCTTGAGTAAGGGAAGCCGCCGCCTACAACCCGTCACGTGACCGAGCGTGTCGATCCGGTGACGTCACTACAGCCAAACCCCAATTGGTGTATCTCAATAAAATACTCGTTTTCCTTATCAGTGTGGCTTTCTCAGATGAATATTATACCATCAAGAGTCGTAACCGGAACCGTCGCCTATTAAACATTGACGTCGTTGCTAGTTATCCCGTACAAACATGGCCGCCTCAGGGATTCAATCGATTTCGTTGGCGGGCTTCTGCCCCCCCCCCGCCAACTTCACTCTGACCAGCACAGCGATTGGCCCAGCTCGCTGCCACGTGATCGACTCCGCAACCAATCGGCTCGAGCCTGAGCGCGTCCGCCCCGCCCCCTCCGCAGCCCCCTGCCACAGCGGCGCGCGAGGGGAGACGCGGCCATCGGTAAAGTTCCCCGCTCGCCGCGCTCGTGGCTGAGACGGGCGATGGGGAGGAATGGGGGGGCGACAGTCGCGCGCGTGAGGCCGGGGAGGCCGAGGAAGCCGTCGCGTGACACCTCGAGGAAACGGCGGCGGCGGTCTCCCGCCATTCGCCGTTCCTCTGGCCGAGGATTCCGCGGCCTAGCGCCCCGTGTGTGTGTGTGTGGGGTGGGTGGGTGGGGGTCCGTATTGTGCCGCGCCATTGGCTGCGGGGCGCTCACGTGACGGGTCGGCGTTCGCGGCGATTGGTCGGCTCGGTCGGTGTATCCTGCGTTGGCGGGAGATCAGCCAATGGGGATCGCCGTCTCTGCCGATGTTGTTGGCGGGGTTGTGGGGGGGCGTCTCTGGGCCTTCATCCAGCAGTGGATCGACGGCCGAGACCCCGAACAGACGCAGGGGGGCCTCCACTCGAGGAGATGGAGCGATGAATTCGGCTACTGTGCGTGAGCTAGAGGCTGGCGGGCGGGCGGCGTGATCGCATCAGTGAGAGGGCGGCACGCCCGTGTGCGGAGGAGGTGGGAGGCCTTCATCCAGCAGCGGATTGAGCACGGCCGACGGCGTGGAGCGGAGGTCGCTCTGCGATGTCCGCTTCTGTGGGGGGCGGGGGGGCTGTCAAAGTGAGCCGACTGGGGGTGCACCCACCCACTCGCTCGCTCGCTCTGCGATAAGATAACCGTGGCGCCCTTTTTGTAGCTTCATTAAGTAGCGAGGGACAGCCGAGTCAACGGTGTTGGGGTCAACGGTGTTGGGGTCAACGGTGTTGAGGTCAACGTTGGGGTCAACGGTGTTTGGGTCAACGGTGTTGGGGTCAACAGGTGTTGAGGTCAACGTTGGGGTCAAAGGTGTTGGGGTCAACGGTGTTGGGGTCAGCGGTGTTGAGGTCAACGTTGGGTTCAATGTTGTTGAGGCTTTTGCCACCAATGTCCATAACAGAGGTGAAATTTTCCGTGTTCGATCGCGTAACTGAGTCGTTAAACCCGCCACCACCCGACACAGCCAATTCGTTGGGGGTTGTCAGGTGAACGGAACGTGACAATTCGTCACTAGTTCAGTACACACTCGTTTTGTGGATTCGTTAACGAGTGCAGCACACCGGCGTGTTGGAGAGCCAAGTCCACAACACGATTTGCTCCACCATCACACCGGTGTTGCTGTACTTGTAACAAATTTCCATGTTTTGTTTACGTGACGATCCTTACTAATTGGCTGTGTCGGGTGTTGGCGGGTTTAACGACGCATTTACATATTTACGCGATCTAACCCAAAACAAAAAACAACAGCCTGTGCTATGGATTGTTGGGGACGTTCGAGAAATTTTTGAAAAGAGGCTTCGGAAGTAGCTCTGAGGTGTCACCTTCCGGAGTCCGTCAACACGTGGTGGTTGTGTTGCTAGTTGTGGGCGAGTTTCAAGTTGTGAAGTTGCTGTTGACGGCGTTGGTGTCCAGCCACACTTGGCAGAGAAACAAAACAAAACCACATTTGCCGCTGGCTTGCAAACAAACACCAAACACACAACACACACCAGTGTGTTGTGTGTTTGTATGTCCCCCGTCTCGGCTGTCATCTTGACAGTTTGCGCCGAGAAATGTTACCGATGGTGTCTGGATGTCAACTCCAGTCGTTTCCACCATTATTTGTGCTCACCATTATTCCACCACCGTGGCATCGTCCCCAGTTGGTTCTGTAACAACGCGTTTATTTAATTCTCCCAATCGTTACGCCCATGAATGCATCGAACTATGCGTGTGGCAATTCGTGACTTGGGAGATTTTATGCAAACACAACTTTGTGTTATTTGTTTTCAAACGTTCCGTTTCTATTAATAATTACAGCCCATTCTGTGGCCGTCAGGGACGCTCTTCCGATATTAAGAAGCCACTGGAGCTATGCACTTTGAAATCGTCTAGATTGAAAACTAATCCCTTGACCTGCTTTTTGTGTTTAGTTGTCCTTCACCCGCACCTCAGATTAGCACGGTTGGCTCCGTAAGGTGCCAAAGAAGTTCAACAAATGTACACAGCGCTGTGTCAATTCACTGCTGGATGAAAGTCTCCGCACACCGTGTCGGTCAGAGGGGTTGTTTGACCACGCTTCATGGTGTAGTTTGCGTCTTGAGATTTAACCGCAACTTCATGTCTCTCCCCCTCAGGCCCTGCCAAGGACACCTCGAGGAGGAGGCCTTGTTCAACAGAACCTCGCCACGTCCCAGCCACGACCCTCCACCCCAGCACGGCTCCAGAGTGCCTTGTGAGATCAGTGTCATCACCCGGCCCCTCTGTCACCTCCATCCTCGTCTTCTCTTCACCTCCCACCCGCCCAACTTCCTTGGCCAGTCCTTCTCAAGCAGCGCAACTCCCCAGATGTTCAGCTCGTGAAGCACGTGTCCCCCTCACACCTCCCTCATCTTCTCTTCCCCTCTTTCTGCCAGTCCTCCTCTTCCATCTCCTCCACATATTTTCCTCCTCCAGAATCATCACTCCTCCCCTTCCTCTTTAATCTTCTGTAATCATCACTCCCTTCTCCTGCTGCGATTACTGCCTTCCCCATCTTCCTCCATAACCGCCACCACCACCGCCTCCTCCTCCCTCCTCCACATCGCCGCGAGCGATGGCCGAGCAGGAGCGACCACAGGCGCTGTCGGTGGTGACCCAGTTGCGCGACCTCGCGTCGGAGCCGCAGAACCGCGAGGTGATCGTCAGGGACCACGGCTGCCTGCCGGGGCTCGTCCTCTTCCTCGACCACCACGACGCCGACGTTGTGTTTTCGGCGCTGCAGGTGAAACGCCGGCAACCGACGCTGCCTTCGCGCTCCCTTTCCGGTATCTACCGGACGTCTGTGGAAAAGACTCCTGGACGTCTATGACAAAGAGCTTTGTGGCTCATCGGATTCTTCCAGAATAAATAAGGAGTCTGAAATTAGGATGCCACTGGAGCTATGCACTTGTAAATCTAGATTTAATTACTTTAGAACTGCTTGTTGTCTTGTTTGTTGTCCTTGCCCTGCACCTCCAATTAGCACGGTTGGGTACGTGCGGTGCGAAAGAAGTTCAACATACATGCAAAGGGATGAGGATTTGCACGGATAGGGTGTTTAAATTCCTCGCGGATGCTGCCGTGGTTTAATGGTCGCCGGTTCGGTTCGTATTCCGACATAGCACTTGGCAGTTTACATTCCTTTTTTGTTATTGAACCCAAATCAACAGTCATGACCGAGGGCATGTGAATGTACGGGAGTAAGGGTTGTTGCGTGTCTAGAGATTACGCCCTCTGGGTAAGCTTTCCTCCCAAAAAAAAGGGGCTTGTTCAGGTAATTGTCTAACCAAGGCGGAGGGGTGGACAGTGGTGGGGGTTGGGGGTGAAGAGGGGGGGGTATGACAACGATAACGAGCGAAATATCGTCCGACATCCACCCATCTCCTCCTCCTAGGATCGGCCGTCGTTCAGGGTAAGTTTGATGTTTCTTCAATTTCACATTAGCCCCCGCCTCTTGCCATCCAACGGTACGAATGTGGAGTATATACGGGCACGTTGCTTGGCAGGTCGCGTCGAGGAGGGTAAATTGTGAACATCCCATCTCCAGCAAGACACTAGCCCAGTGTTCTTGTTTCTTTCGGTAAAGTCACGTAGAAGGGAAATAATAAAATAATAAAAATAAAACGTAATAAAATACAATTCTCACGACGTTTCGGCCACAACGCAAGCTGCCGTCCTCAGGTGAAGAACAGGTCTGTTGGAAAGACAGCGTCTGAATGAGCACCGCCAAGCTTGGCAGCGTATATTTAAGCTGAAAAAGAAAAACTAGCCCAGTGGTCGACATCCAATGGCTCCGGTGCCGCGTGGCATTGCGTCTCGAGAAACGTGGAGTTTTGTACCGATTTCGACCCGTGCACTCGCCCCTTTTCCTAACCACACGAGATAACCAGACACTGGCTCAAACCCAGTAGTGCCACCACTCGCCAATGTTTGGAAGTTACACCATTAAGACTCTTTTTTGTGCCAAGCTGGGTGCACTTTGAAGTCGCGTGTCGTGGTGAAAGCTAACCGTCAACAACAAAATACATATATATAGCTTTTTGGCAATTAACTTCTGGACAATGGGCTCCCCCTCTACATGTGTGAACATACTTCACCATTCTGGCCAGTGCATATTGGTGAAGGATGCGGCGTAGGACCGGTTCAGAGGTGTCACTTGCTACGGACTTCAAGCTGTGGTCAGAAATAAAACTCTGGTCGCCGTGTTTCGTAGCCCAGTGCGCAAACCGCTGCGCCACTGCGCCACTGCGCCACTGCGCCAGCCCCTCCACAGAACAAACCCCTCTTGTTATTTTAGGCAGCGTGTCGTTTTAAAGTAACGCGTTGTCAACGCTGCTATTTGAGTCCTCGTCTCGAATGACTTTCATTGCCTCGCTGCTAAAGGTCGTTGCTGTTGCGCCACCACTGATGCGTTGTCTGCCTGTGAACCATCGGCATCGTCGGCACCACCATCATCATCGTCATCTTCCGACACATGCGTTACAATACACTTGTACGTTCACGTCTACCAGTACACACATCCTGCAGCCCTATACATGTACGAATCCATCCACTTTATTCACGACTAAAGTACCAAAATACACATTTTTCTACCAAGGGGCTGTCGATGCCCAAAAGTGAAATTGCTTCTGCAGTCCAGCGAGTGGAGCCCTTGCTCTTTCCTGGCGCTTTGCGTTTCTCACTCCCGTCGCGTTCGTGACGATGTTTATTTATTTGACGACGTAAGGCCCACTGAGCTACGTAGCTCGTTTTTAGAAGCAGGCTGGCGATCTCAAATGATAGCTCAACGAAGTGGCTTATCATTACGTGGTAATTTATAGCAGCCAAATACTCTAAACGCACGTTTCTAAATGTAGAGGGAAAAACCGGAGGACCCGGAGAAAAGTACACGCGACCACGGGGAGAGAGACGGGCACAACTCCAAATATACAGCAGCAGGCGTCGGGGTCGGGATCTAACCCACGACCTCCTGTATACTTGGCGAGGGAGTTAACATCTCACCACCGCAGCTCACCTCACGCGATGACTGGCGGCTGCGTCTTTGTAACATTCTTATCCGCCCTTACTGGACACCTGTGAAAAAGAGCTTTATAGCTCATCGGATTCCTCCAGTGTAAATAAACATTCTGATTCTTTGTTCCAGGCGCTGAGGTATTTGGCGGAGAGTGCGGCCAACCGGGAGAGGATGCGCAGTGAGCTGGGCATGCTGCTCAGCCTGCAGAACATCATCGACAAGTGCGTGAGACAGGAACGGATGGATCTCGCTTGCCCTTGCGCTCTTTTCACGTCAAGGGACGTAAACCGTCACGCAGACTCCGGTCATCCTCGCAACAGCGGCGGCTTTTTGGGCCAGCCGCCGAATAAAGACTCACCGCATCGCGCGTCTGGATTGAAATTCCAGTTGTGCTAACCATAAGTTTACCACTGTGACATCATCCTTATTCGGTTCTATAACAACTCGTTAATTAAATTCTCCCAATCGTTATGCTCACGATGAATGCATTAAACTCTGGGTGCGACAATTCATTGCTAGAGATTTTTTGCAAACAAGCTTATGTAATTTGTTTTGAAACGTTCCATTTCTATAAACAATGACGGCACTTCTGCGGCTGTCTGGAGCGCTATTCCGATATTAGGAAGCCACTGGAGCTATGCACTTTTACATCGAGATTGAAAAGTCATTTCTCTAGAACTGCTTTTTTTGTTTAGTTTGTTGTCCTTCCCCCGCACCTCCGATAAACACGGTTGGCTGCGTATGGTGCCAAAGAAGTTCAACACACACACATTTCTATTCCGTCTGTACCCTTCTTTGACCACACGATGTTATCCCGACCATCCCGCTATCGGCGTCGCGACGCGAAGCGTTCATTCGGATCTCTCGCAGCGGAGAAGCGTTGCAGAACGGGCCACAGAAGCAGATGTCCAGGTTATCTGGTCCACACGCAGTAGAGGGCAGCACTTCACCACTAGAGCTGCGTATGGGGGTCGTGTTCGACACGGAGGCTTTAGCGTAAATATATTTACGCGATCTAACCAAAAAAAACCTGCATTATGGAGGGGAGTGTTTGTTGCCTGACAGTCAAACCGAGATAAATTGTAAACCCAATTTAATTTGGTGCCGTATTTTGCACGGTCATTAGTGACCATGCTCAGAACATTAAATCACTTTTATGCTTTTGAAGCCAGTTTAATTACAGGTCTGTCCTGATCTCATGATTTTCGTGAGATAATCTCTCGACGCGGCAGTTACCTGGCATTGTAAATGGGTACGCCTCTGTCGGCCGCGTGTGGTGGGGCAAAGTGTGGGTACGGCCACATTTTCCAATATAATACCACCCTAGAGCTCCGTCTCGTGGAGGTTCTTTTAGCCAGCAGCGGCAGGATGAAGCGAAAGATGCCAGTTTGCACCGAGACGCTCCACGCTCCACAGCGACGCGCTCGTGAACAATGCGCCACCCCCACGCAGGAAGGAGCGCTTGCACGAAGCCGGCTCCCTGGCCGCCGAGATTCACGAGCTGCTCACGCGCCCGGCCAGCGCCACCACGGCGGTGCCGGGGGGCGGAGGCAGCGGCGGGGTGACGACGCGCCCCCGCAAGGGGCAGTTCTTCCTGGGCAACACCAACAAGAAGGCCAAGGTCGTGACGCTGCACATCGACGGCCTAACTGACGGGGTTAGTCGCGCGCCCCCATCGCCATCTCAACGACGGCCCCTTTCCCTGTCTCCCGTAGATTTCTGTGTCGCGTCTCGGAATCGGAATCATCGTGATATTTATGCTGGAGAGGAATCCGATGAGCTGTGAGGCGCTTTTTCACAGATGTCCGGTCGGGGCTTGTCAGAACGTTACAACAACAACAACAAACAGGCGGGAGTGGTTGAAGAGGGGATTGATGAAGCAAATTATTTGGTGGCGCTGCTGCCGCTGCCTTGGCAGTGGTGCACAAGCACAATTAACAACGCAATTAACTCGACACGTTTAGCAATGGCATCGTGGCCTTCAGAAGAAAAATATAATTGGCGACTTGTCGGTCAGTGAGCCCTCTTGCGTGTCAAGAAGGGCCGTGCTCTTAATAAGGACCACTGCCCTGAAACGTCACCTCTCATGTAAGCTCTTCTTTCAGGCCGCAGTGTTAGTGTTCAATGTGGGATTTGTAAGGTGAGCGATTGCAATGGTTTGTGTTTGATAGTGCGGCCTCCGTAAGGGGCGTCTCAGAGTGCTTTACACGCTCCCAACGTTCGAAAGGGCACCCCGAGTGGCAGCTGTCTCTGTGCAGCACGAGGTGACTCAGCACCCGGCTTGCAAGCGGGCATCAGTCTGCCAGTAGGGCAGGCGGTGATTGCCGCTGTGTGTGCGATCCCAATTGAGTGATTTCCAGGAAAAATGTATCAAATTCGGAAAAAATTGGACCGTGACACCGGGTGTTGCTCACTAACGGCACTTGCACCAACAGCCCATGTAGGTTACACGGGGGACCTTTGCCTTGCGTGTGCGTGTTGTGCTGGGATCGCCAGGGCCGGCGCAGCTTGTGCGAGGACGCCCTGCTCAAGGTGAGAGGCGTCATCAGCTTCACGTTCCAGATGGCGAGCCAGCGCTGTGTGGTGCGCATACGCACGGAGCTCAAGGCGGAGGTACGGGCACGCGCGTACAGGCACACACATACACGTACCACACGCGCACCACACACGCACCACACGCGCACACATACACAGGCAAAGGTCCCACGCGTAAGCCTTTAACAGACTGTTGGGATGAGTAACACCAAGAACAACGAGAATCGTAATTTCAACTTGTAACACGCCGCACGGTGTTTGGAGAGAGAGAGAACGACTCGGAGAAGCCGCAGGCGGGCGCGGAATGGCAGCGGTCGTGCAGAGAGCCGGCGCCAAATTCCTCTCCAAGCTCTGCAGTGCTGTGCATGTGAAGGTGTGGCGAATATTTAAACCGGTCCTGGACCTTCCCCGAGTAAATGGTGCGGCGTGTAAGCGTCCGCAATGGGGAAACAGCGGCGGCCGGGTGTGATGCTGGCCCCCCACGCCAGCCTTCATAGGTGCTCGCTAACAGCACTTGCCCCAACAGTCTCTTTAAGGGGATCTTTGTCTTTTGTGATGGAGCCAAACGGATTGTTGCATGGCGCAGGCTTGGGAGTGCTTTCATCTGGCAGTGAATAGATTATGGCCGATTATGATAGACAGATGATGATGGTAAAAGCCAGAGTTGAACCCTGTCCGGGATGCGAACTTGCGGTTTTCTGACCGTGAGCCAAGAGCGCGGTAGACGCGCGTCGCGATTGTGCGACGTCAGGAGGGGGCTGGCTTTGTTGTCCTCTCTCTCCCGTCCGCTGCCGGGCTCATCCGGGATTTAGCCCGGCAAAATCACCGCGGGCCACGTCTAATGAGAAGCTGTGCGCACCCATTACGGCTACAGCCTGGGGCATCACTGGAGGCCAGTGAGTGAGAGAGGGGACGGAGAGCCGAGTGAGGCTGCGAGAGAGAGATATCAATCCAGACGCACCGGGAAGGGATCCACTCATTCACACCCTCGCCACGCTTGTTATGCGACCACCCTCCACCACCTCCATATTTTCTTTTTTTCTTTAACGTTTGTGGGGCTTCCCCCCCCCCCCCCCCCCGCGAAAATGTATTTCCAATTGTGCCGCCATCGGCGTCGCTTGACGGGAACGCTGCTCCGCGCAGTAGGGGCAGCACTTTCCCACACGACCAAACCAGCGAGGGAACGTTCGGTTTTTAACGGTCATCGTTTCATGCATCTTGTAATTTGCGCAGTCAACTCGCTTGCCTTGAGAACGCGATGTCATCAGGTTTAGTCACAGACAACTGATTATTTTTTTCCAATTGGTGTAAAAGGTCTCGGCAGTGGCCAGCTCAGCGCCCCCAGGATCTCTGAGCCGCCCGCCCCACCTCTCTTACCACTTCTATGAAGTGCCACGGTGGCAAAATGTTAACTACCTCGCCTGGTGTGTAGGAGGTCGTGGGTTCGATGCCGACCCTGATGCCTGCTGCTGTATATTTGGAGTTTGCATGTCCTCCCTGTGGTCACGTGGATTTTTATCCGGGTTTCCCCTGCACATTTACACACTAGATGTTTAATGTATTTGGCTGCTATAAATGTCCACGTGACAAGCCACTTCGTTGAGCTGTGTCATTTGTGATAGCCAGCTCAGGTGGGGCCCTTATTTGGTTAAAAAGTAAAATAACAAAAACTTGAAGCTTAAGTGTTGCGTTCAGAACATTTGCGAAGTTGGGTGCATCTCCCCCGTGCGGGAGAACAGCCCCTTGAAGGGAAGGAAAGGTGTTAGATATTCATGGAGTCCTGTCATGTCACCCTTTTCAATTCCGTCAAGTTTATTTATAACTAGGGTGAGAGCCCTCTGAGACGAAACGTCTCTATCGTGGATACATCAAAAGCAATGCGGTGTACGTGTAAAGCTGCCCGAAACAAGCCCACAGAACCAAACAAAATAAAACTAAATGTTCTAACGACTAAAACTAAACTATATTTTTATTTACCAGGTAAGGACCAGCTGAGCTATGTAGCTCTTTTACAGAAGCGACCTGGCCACAAGTGATAGCTCAATGAAGTGGCTTATCACGTGGATAATTTTAGCAACCAAATACTCAATGCGCATGACGTTGATTCTGAATGTGGAGGTAAAAACCAGAGGATCCGGAGAAAAATCCCCGTGACCGCAACCACAAACAAACGCGGTGCAAAGATTTGACCCCGCGGCCGCACATTCGCCGCTTTGTCACAGAAGTTCACGGTAGCCGAATCCAGTGGCCGCCCCGGTCAGTACTGCGGCGTGCGTATCGAACGCGTTGTGAACGTGACCGCGTCACAGTCAACGCCTCAAAACTTCCACCGCCAGTTCTCCAACTGGGATTTGCGCGCGGCGGCGTGGACCACCACCACCCCCGGTGTTGTCAAACTCCCCGCAGGGCGCGTGCGTGCGTGTGTAAAACTTGGCAGCGCCTTCCTCCATGCGCGAATAACCCGAATACCAAATGTACCAAACTCAACGTCATTGTTCATTATCACGAGTCCTCCCTGCGGCGTGCGTGCCCACACAAGCCGGCGAAACCCCCCCTTCCGTCGTTTTCCTTGCAGTGCCTGGCGTCGGCGATTGCTGCCACGAAGGTGATGTCGGCGCAGCAGGTGATCAAGAACGAGAGCGGAGAGGAGGTGAGCGCGTGGACGGTGACGTTCCCCCCACCCCCATGCCACCACCACCCGCCTAGCCCTGCCACCTCGCCCACCCTCTCGCCTACCTTTCCCACCTGTCCACCCGCTCGCCTGTCCACCCTCTCACCCACCGCCCGCCGGCAGGTGCTGCTGTCGCTGGAGCAGTGCTCCGAGGGGCTGGAGGAGAACGAGGAGCTGCCCGACTACCTCCCCGAGGAGGAGAGCCCCGTGCGGCAGAACGGGCGCGCCGTTTCGCGCGTCGGCGCCAAGAAGGACGCCGGCGGCAGCTGGCTCAGCTCGGCCGCCAGCTTCCTCACCAAATCCTTCTACTGGTGACACCGGCAGCAAGACCACGGCGACGGTGACGCCGCGCCGGACGGGAAGCACCGCAAGGCTGAGCCGCACGCACCGCGCCGAAGGAGATGGGCGGCGTGATGGCGGACCAGAGAGAGCCCGGTTGATGTTATTATAATTATTATTGGTGTCAGCTTTTTTTTTGTTATCCCTTGGTTAATCACGACGACCGGGGTTCATTGTACAGCCGGGGGTCCGTTTTAGGTCGATGAACCGGAAAATATTTTTCTCCACCCAGAACACCGCATCCAGTATATCTCTCGCTATGGGCTGTGGCTACTACTACTAACAACTGCTAGTCACGTGCCACACCGCCTGCAGTCTACCCAGCATGGACCCAGCCAATATCTTGGTGGACAAGAATTGCACGCACGCGACCACTCTGCACGTCGAAAACTGAGGATGACGACGACGACGATGACTGCAGCGACAAAAATAATAACTTCACTCCTGCCAAGTCGGCCTTACCCATGCGACGGTGGGAGCTGTTGGCGTGGCACGCCGTCGTGAAGTTTAGGCCGCCGGTAAACTTGAGACGGCGCATTGGCGTGAGAGACCTCTCCTACGCCAAGCGTCGAGCTCACACGGTCGCTAACGGAGCGGCTGGAAAAGCACAACTACGGAGGCCACTGATGTCCACCGCCGCCGCCACCACCAACGCACCCCGATGAGTGAGTGGCAGGATCGGACTCAGGCCGGCCACAGAAAATTTTAAGTAACAATAAGTTCACGGAATGGCCTGAGCCAGTGGTGGAAATTACACTTTCCCGTAACGGGGTCCAGTATATATACACACACACAAACATCAGCTTCCCAAATGGTGCAGTGCTCGTTGAATCACCCACTCTCGGAGAGACGATGTTGACGATGGTGGCGAGTCTGCCCCTGGCCGGGGAGTCGACGCGCACGAGTGTTGGGATCACGGTGACGCGCGGATCTATAGAATAAAACTGCGTTGAGCGATTCGCAAAAGGGTTTTGAGAACAACGCTAATAGTATTGTTATTGTTGCGCCTAAGTATTTTGTTTGGTGGCAGCCTTTTGTTTGTTACATTTAGTTTTATGGTTGGCGTGCCTAACTTCTTAGGAAGAAGAGGTGTGGGCGTCGTTATTGTTGGCAAAAGGTGCGGGGTGGTAAAGTTGGCGAGGGCGCGACGCGGCGGTGTCGAGCCATCCGTGTTCTAAAAATAAAAACGGAAGCTGCTCTGTTGTGAAGATGGGCGCTGCCAAACCACGCCCCACTCTCAGCGGCGAGTAACTTGCCTGCTGACGGGGAAACAAATCCCTCCGTTCCGCCGCTCAACTGAACCAGCCCGGCTTGGGAGGCGCCGGTATTGTCTTTGTTCCACTGCGGGAGTCGAGCCAGGCCACCAGCGTCGGGCGCGGCGAACGAGCGGAGCCTCGCGCGTGTGTGTGGGTAAGCGCCTTGCAATAAGGTGCCGTAGAATGCTGTGTAAGAGAAGGTGACCTGGTGACACCGCACCGGCACGGCGTACCGAATGACGTCGCGTGCGGTGGATGCGGCTTTAACCTCGCCCATTGCCCTGCTCGGCCCCTCGTCAGATTCGGATGTCTTGTCTTGTGAGGCTGGACTATCGCGGTTTGGCTCCGGCTCCGCCGCGCTGGCTCGGCTCGCATGTGCCAGTGGAAAAAGGGAAAGTAACCTGGCCAACGAGCGCCTTGTTGCAGACGGAAGGTCTGCTTCTCAGTGGAGCATGTTGCTTTCGTACCGCGTGCGTCCGTGGGGAGGGGGGGGGGTGTGGATGCGTTCTTGGTGGTGACAGTTTTTGGTAAACGACATTTCATGGGTTTTTTTGGACCCGGAGACTCCAAATGGCGGCCCTAGTGGTGGCCGCTGCCGAACCATCCACTGATCCTCTCCATGTTTTCCGTTACCGAAAGTTGACTCCTCTCTGGGCGTATTTTCCGAGCGGCTGGATTAACGTGCTTGCAAAAATACATCGGATCAAATATCTATTGAGTCGAGCGGCGGCTTCATTGTGAGCCGCTCACTCGTCGAGAGTCGGCGACTCGTTACTCTCCCCCTCCATCCCCCACGTGACCTCAAATACGTCGGCGAGTTAACCCGTCACTTTTTAAGACGCAATATAAACAGACGTAGGTACGTTCCACTCTTCACCCCCATTCTACGCCGATAAACAATAACTTTGTTCAGTGGCCTAATTTACAAATGTGTTGATTTTTCCGTGGTCTTGTTTTATGTTCGTCACCCCTCCAAATGAGCCCAGATAATCAAGGGTCGACTTGAGCTGGCGTCGCACAAACGAAATCAAATTGGTGAACACGTTCGCCGTTGACTCGTGCAGAACATTACTTGGTGGGGCGGTTATCGTCTCGCCAAGCCAGAGTTGGTCACTCAACAATGCCTGACGTGGAAAAAAAATGTTAGCTTGCCCCCAAATCGAATCTTGGGGGCGATGGGGGGGGGTGGAGCAGACCTGGTTCGGATTTCACTCCGTGCCACCGATGCCGGGACTCGGAGCTTGGCTCGGTATCGCGGTTGGGTGAACCACCAACGGCACCGCCGCTCCACCCATCGTGGCTGTTGGGGAGATGACAAAGCGGCAGACTTCTCGCCCGGTTACTTCATATGGACATTTGTTGATGATAATTAATCGCCAAAAAAATATGCAGAGCTTTACCAACATAAGATTTTTGTGGTTTATTTGCAATGATCTGACACTTGTGTAGCTAGCGTTTTTGTGAATTCACCGTGTGCTATGCATATGCAAGCTTTACGCTGTATACTTGATGATGATATCTATGCTTGACCCCATGGTTATTATCAAAAAACATAATCTATTTAAGAGCCTAATGACTTTGGTATGCGCCTTGTGTACGACCGGTTAAGTGCCCTCTTACCTCTGACTAAGTCTTGGAGCCAGGTGAGTCGCGTTGTGTGGTGGTGGTGGTGGCAAATGGTTCCTTTCCGTCCCGAGTTTTGGCGAAATGTTTTGTGACATTTCCATGTACGTCGCTGTTGGCTCTCCAGACGGCGTACGTCGCCAGAGCTCCCTCTCGGGACAAGCTCTTACCCTACCACCACCATGTCCGTCTTTGTCTTCCTCTCGCCTTTACCCCCCCCTCTCCAAGGATGATGAGGTGTGGCTGTAGGGCCCCCTGTGAGCTTTCTACTCCTTGTAGATGTCACCTTCCTCGAACTAATTCCAGCATTGACGTTTTGCAATATTCACAATGTCCCCTAATTCATAACAACTTGCCATCCTTGGTCCTGCCCATCCTATTCTCTCAACATCCGAAGAGAGCGACGCTTAACCACGATGGAGAAGTTATGATCGTGTCGGCCTGTGGTTCCCAACACTTCCTGGACCGGCGTACCGCCGTCGGCTCTTCAACAATTTTCGCAGACCACCATGCACCAGCCACGTGCATTTTTCGAAAATCAAACCCGCGCCCGCACGTTGTACGTCGCGTGAACAACCAATGGCAGCAGTTGGCGGATATTTAGGTCGTGGAAACAACCTCGACAGTTGTGCAATGCGCGGCAAGCATCCGGTGTTTTGTTAAACTGACCTTCGTGCCTGCAACCAGCTTCTGGGGACCACCTCGCGTGGCTTTGCGGACCTCGTGTCCGGCACCACCGATCTAGAGACGATGAGATGCAGTGTTTATCTGTATTTCTAAATCGGCTCAAGCCTCCCGTATATCACGTGACTTACGTGCCCCCCCCGCCACCACCACTCTGGGTCCCTCTCCCCGCCCCCTGGGGAAACAGACGCCGCTTGTCCGTGCAGCTCACCACTGCTCGCTCCTTTTCTCTCTCTCGTCTCCCTCTCGTTTCTCCTCTTCGCCACCATCACCCTCTCATCTGCCCCTCCTCCTCTTCCGGCCTGGCGCTGCCCCTCCTCTCCCTGCCGCTCATCTGATGCAGTGACTTCCGTCCCGACCTTCCTCCTTCCCCTCTCGCGTTCCATTCATGTTCTCTGTTCATTGCGTCCGCGACTCTTACTCCCCCTGGCCATCGTGGTGGAGCCACGGGGTTAAACCCCTTGAGTTGAAATCAAAATGCGAATCTGGCTCCAGAAGTAGCTTCCCTGTTCAAACGAGCGATGGAGTTGAGCCGATGGATCTTCTGTGCGAGCCAGCGGTCTTAGCCTTGCCAGAAAGGGTAAAACCTATTCTTATTTTTCATACTTTGATACTGGCAAAAAGGCCCCATTATACAGCGATGGGATGTTCCACATTGACATGCCGGAGCCCAGTCCATCCACAGGCTGCGGGAGGGGAACGGGTGGTGGAGGGAGGGGGGGGGGTGAACACCCCCAACCGAGCTCTGAGACTCGTGCGACGTGACCCGCCCCTCGACTGTGAATGACCTGAGTTAAATTTGCGGTTGCGTTGTGACATCGTTAAGTCTCCCTCTAGCCCGTCGGTCGCAGCGCGCGACAACCCAAGCATGGAACTCATCGCTTCTGCGATGTCTGCGATGTCTGCACGCCTTCGCTGTCGCGAGTATCCCACAGACGGGAGAGTGCCTGTTTTAAATCGCACACAAAAACCGCTCGGTTTTTTTCCTTCCCAAATAAACTTTAAGCAATAATCAGCTCAGCTACTATCTTCCCCCCCCCCCCCCCCCCGATGTGTTTTCGCCGTCGTGCCGCCTGCGCACCAAACGTGTTGTTTGGCACGACCTCCGACGTGTCGCTCCCACGGTGCCGGCAGCTTCACTGGAAAGCTCAACGCTGATGTTCGTGGTGCTGATAGGAAGGGGGGGGGGGGTAGCGTAATGCTACGAACCCGGCGACCCGAGTTCGATTCCCGCTCACGGCCGACACCAGTGACGATAATTATCTGAACTGGTACATGGGCCTCCCCCTATGGTCGACTCAGCTTCAAATGAGTACATGCTGTGGTGTGTAAACATCGCCGCTGGGGAGACAGGCGGCATCAGGTTAGTTAGACTGCACCATGGTGCTGGCCACCCCCGCTGCGTGCACCGTGCCGGCCTACAGAGGTGCTCGCTCACAGCACTTGCCCCAAAGCGTTGCGCAGGCTACACGGGGGTTCTTTGTTGTGTGGTACAAACATGAAATGCCTTGGCAAGCGTAACCGACACATTTGTACTTTTGAGTTATAATGAGGCAAGGTGATAACAAAATATAGAACCAAGACATTTTTAATTCAACATCTCTAAATGTTGTTGGCAACGGAGGGAAGCTGTCTATGAATATAATCAATACCCCAACCAAAATATATATACACATATATATGCACACACGTGTTAGAGAATACGGCTCTCTGTGAGTCTGAGTTTCTCTGCGTCTATGGGTCTCGATGATAGGTATGCGTCTCGAGTCTAGGGGTCTCGAGGTCTATGTGAGTCCATGGGTCTCTGTGTCTGGGTCTATTTGTACCACTCTCTATGTGAGTCCGTGGGTCTCTGTGTCTATGGATCTATTTGTATCAGTCTATATATGTGAGTCCGTGTGTCTATGGATCTATTTGTATCAGTCTTTATATGTGAGTCCGTGTCTCTGTGTCTATCGGTGTATACTCGAGTCTCTGTGTGCGTCTCTGGGTGTCTGTACCCGATCCAAGCCACGCGTGTGACTGGAGGGCGAGCCCCCCCCCCCCCGCTCTCGAGCCGCGCGTCTCTCCCCGCGGCTCCCGTGAGATGCGGAGCGGCGACTCTGAGAGGCGCTGTGGCTCTGCGGCTCCAGCGGGGACGCAGAAGAGTGGCAGCAGCAACAGCAGCAACAGCATCCCAATGCGCAATACAACACAACAGCCATGCCGCGTCTCGCTCAGCGCGACCACCGCAGCGGATTCACACACAGACACAGAGACACACACATACACAGAGACTCACGCAGAGACCCATAGACTCACACAGAGAACCACATAGACTCACACAGAGAACCACATAGACTCAAACAGAGACCCATAGACTCACACAGACACAGAGACACACACAGACCCATATACTTACACAGAGACCCATAGACTCACACAGACACAGAGACACACACAGACCCATAGACTTACACAGAGACCCATAGACTCACAGAGACACACACAGACCCATATACTTACACAGAGACCCATAGACTCACACAGACACAGAGACACACACAGACCCATAGACTTACACAGAGACCCATAGATTCACACAGAGACACACACAGACCCATAGACTTACACAGAGACCCATAGACTCACACAGACACAGAGACACACACAGACCCATAGACTT